ATTTTTTTTGAAAATTGGATGAATCCTAGCGTGACGGTGAAATGGTTAATGAAGCGTGAGTAATTGGGGTACGGGTATCGGCCGCGTTGGGACCCAAGGCCCATTGTTCTTCGTGACGCCGACGCAGTGATCAGGAGCGTGGGGACGAGAGGGCTTAGTGGACTCCTGTATGAGCCACGTTTAGCAAATGGTCTAATGAGTCTCGAGGCTCATCACAGATTGCACTTACCACTATCCTGGTGGCCCCGGCTATCAGAGCAAGGAGTACCAACTTTTGAAAAGGATAACAGTGTTGTGGAGATATGTCAAAGCAACGTTGTGAACAAAACGGAGTGAGTGAAATTCTCATTCAAGGAGTGCCGAACTGGTCAGCCATCCTCGAATCAGTTCGCTTGCTTCCGCTTATATATGCATATTTTAAATCAGCGCGCCCCATTCTAAGGTTTTTTTAAAAAAAACCAAGAAACGTAGACTCTTGGTATTCATTACACATAAACTAGCGAGCCCCAGAATGAGAAACAAATTTTAATCATTATTATTGACGGATTAGTAAACTTTTTACACGCTTTGGAAAATCTCAGAAGTTCGCGGTAGTCACTTTTCGGTAAGGAACTAGGGGACTCGGTTATTGTATCGAGGGGGGGGTCGAAACGATCGCAAAGGCGGTATACTACGTATACGCGCCAAAAACTAAAACGTAAGAAAATGAATCCACTCAAAAGAATCTAATCAGAGCTGTATAATTCGTCTCTCTTTATATCATCTGAGAAAATTTTAAAGAAAATAAAAATAAAAGCAAAATTGCTGTATTAAAGTGTCAGGATTTAAAGAGCATAAATTTCAGTCGAGGAACATAATTTTGTGTTTAAAATCACTGCACCCGGTCGCGCGATTCTACCGCGCGGCCTACGACACCGGCCGCGTCGCGCGACGTTTGTGAAACCGAGGCTTAACCGCGGGATGACTCGCGAATTCTCGCATAACGCACACGCCATCGCGCCGACGACGAGACACCCGCCGGCCGTCAAAGTGGCCGATTTCCTGACGTGTGAACTGACCTCCGATCACCGCACTTTCCAAACTAGTTCCATTCATATTTTCTTCCTTTCTTTGATTTCCTCCGCTTTTATTTTCAGCCGCGGCTCTCCCCTTGGGCTCGCTCATGCATGGCGACACTGACATTAAGTCCATTGTGTCCACTTTGATGCGCAATGCACTTGTCTCAGTTGTCTTAGCGGAAACGCGCCTCACGGGCACGCTTCACCGGTGCGAAGCTGCAATTTTCATCCTCCCAGTTTTCCAGTGTGTCATGAGAGATATTTCGGTCGTTCGTGTTCGGAGACAAGAGGAAACCCCGCACTAAACCTCTTGACGACGATTTGAAACTTCTACTTTCAAGGCTCTACACCGAAGAAAAAAGTTCAATTGATGTTTCTGAAATTCGGTTAATATTGACCACTGCACAAATGCAGATTCTATATCAGTATCGAGTGCGATTTGCTTCCTATCTAAAAAAAAAAAAACCCTGGTAAAAATTGGCGATGAGAGCTGCGTTTAAAAATAGCATAGGAATTCTTACAGCCGGCTAAAGAAGGCTACAGAAAATCATATAGCTGGCTGTAGAATGCGGAGAAAATGATACGGCCGGGCTATACGAAGCGATAAAAAAGTATGCAGCCGGGCTATAGTTCCTATCGCCGGGCTTTTCACTTTATCGCCTGGCTGTTGCTTTTTCGCCATCGATTATAAAAGGCTATAAGAAATTGCGTAGAACTTCGTGTGCTTTGGAAATCATTAAGTTTGATACGGAACCACCTTAATATTTACAAAACACACATTATATTTTCCTTTAATACATATTTTTTTTCATCAATTAAAATGAGAATAATCCATACAGGATGTGCAAACATTTCAAAATCATGAGTTGAATAACGCTGACTCCGCCAGATTAAATATTAGAGCCTAACAAAAAGCGGAGCGGCGACGCACTGGCGCCTACAAACCTAACAGGGATACTTCACGGATTGCGCAACGCGTGAAGTATCCCTGTTAGGTTTGTAGGCGCCAATGCGTGTTTTGCGCTGGCTGCCCGCCTGCCACGGCGCTTGAAGCAACTATTTCACACCAGAGGTATTGCACAGTATCATACGAAACTGAAGGCGCTCTAATATATTGGTAATGGCAGGCATCCATCAAAAGTACGGAGCTTTCCTCGCAAAATAAATCAAGATACTACGGCCCAAAAAGAGAGCAGTATTCCAAAAACTCACTAGATTCTAGCATCCGTAATTAGTAACGTTTAGCATACACTTTACGCCTGGCTGTTGCTTAGCCGCCATCGGCTATAAAAGGCTATTAAAAATTGTGTAGCCGGCTATAGAAGCTATTGGAAATCTTACAGCCGGCTGTAGGTCTATGGTATTTTGGAACACAGATTCTACTGCAAATTTTTACCAGGGAAACTTTGCCTTTATTACGTTTGATTTCTTTGTCAAAGGTACATGTTTTTCTTTGTCTCACGACAACAGAAGTGCGATCTCAAAATTTGAAAAAAAAAAATGAGTAGCTGAAATTATGGAACAAATCGATGCGATGTATCGCACGTCGCTTTGTTACAAAAAATGGCGTCCGTTGATTCGCCTTAAAGCTGGCTTGTTTATGTCTTCAAAAAAAAAATAGAATACGAGCGAAAATGTTGAAATATTAAACTTGGACCGAGTTTAGCGAGAAGAAACCAGGCCACATCAGTTATTGCCAAATTTAATTGGACAATTTAATCTTTTACATGAGAACGGCTGTGCGGATTGTTGTGCAAATTTCAGTGAATTTTCAGCATTGTGCGAAGCAAATTCCTCAAAATGTTCAAAGGAATCCGCACTAACGTTCTCTTGAAAAAAATTATTTGCCACATTAAATTTGGCAACAGCTTATGTAGCTTGGTTCCTTTCTGCTAAACGCGGTCCGATTAAAATACGCGGTTTTGCACTTTGACCGTCAATATGTTAAACAGAGAAAAAAAAAACTCTAAACGTCAGAAACTTGGCAGAGGCACTCGGCACTCCTCAATGCAGGAGCCTGATAGACGTCAATTTCTTGCACTTTCCTGGCGGTGCCGCCTGCGGTCGGCATGATTCGGCGAAACGTGCAGGTGCAAAATATTACCATATCTAGGTAAACACTACCCCCCTTCCCCCATGAGGGTCAGCGGGGGTTGGGAATCGCGCGACTGAACACTCGATCTGTGGTCAGATCGGTTCCACGCGCTTCCTAGGAGACCCAGACGGAGCCTAACCTCAAAGTTCCGGCCCCCATCGTCTTCCTCCTTCACAGTCGATTAATAGTCAAAGGGCCCGCTGGAGCCAGGTTCGGGGTTCGAGTCCTTGGTTCGGTGACACGGTGAGTTGTGACGGATTCGCGCGGCAAAGTTCACCACCGACGCCTCCGGCGACTGTCGCTTCCGATAGTTTGCGCTCCATTTCGCTCCACATCCTCATTCGACGCGGAAAAAATTTTTGCCCTTGAGATACTGAAAACGCCTTAGAGATTTCAAAAACGTACAAATTTTATTTAATTTTTTGTGTCTTTTTCAGTTTTGGGCCTCCCAAAAAGTTAAGGTGATTTGTGTTTTTCTTCTGTGTTTTGAATAGTCAAGAGTCGATGACCACGGTATAACTGGAATTTCTAAGCGATGGAATATTGAAAACGCTGTAGAGATTTCCAAAACATATGCATTTTATTTAATTTTTTTCCGTGTATGGATACCTGTGGTATCCCGGTGTGTGGAACAGTCAAAAGTTTATGATCGCAAGTGTTGGGATATGTGAGGGCTTCTTTCGGGGTTTTTTGTGATTTTATAAGGCTAACAACTTTTTTAAGACATTATTATTTTTGTGGGTGAGTGTTCTTGCAAGTCAATGAATACGCGGACTTTAATGCGCACTGAGAGGATTATTTTAAAAAATTCTTGCTTGAGCTTCGATAAAATATTTTTCATGAAAGTGAACATTTTCTCAGTATGCTTTAAAAAATTGGCGTGTTAGTTTTTCGAGAGTTTTTCACAAGAGGGGACATTCATTCGTTCTTCAAAAAAATAGTCTCTCATGAGTGAAGTCTAATGAACATATTCTATCGGTCAACGCAATTAAGAAGTCAATATCGGCCAGTCATTCTTTTTTCTTTCGTAGAATATTTTCATTCAAATGCCATCATTGTTCAAAAATGTTTTAAGGATAAAACGAAAGCTTTTTGCCTTGTGTGTTGGAATCATGTTGAACCGATGATTGGCTTCTAAATATTCCTCACTTTCTGAATGTCACATTAAAATCGTGCTGTTATAAAATATGAGAACTATCCAATTTTAAACCGTTCGACACCACCGGTGTAGTCAGGTTGAAGTTTCCCCCCTTAATCAATTCAGAACATTTGAGCGTGCTCTGTCCACGAAATAAAAACCATATTGGACTTTTATGATGTTGAAAAGAAGTTTAATTTTGGTGCTAGTGCTTAACTGTGCGACGAAAGGCTTAAGTCACCAAGATAGCTACTTGAGGGAAGCCAAAAAGACCTGTGCTCGAACCGCTGGCGCCTCCTTATCCTGTCTCAAGTACGAGTTGCTCCTGTTCTTTCATAGAATTCTCACGACGAAACAACGGAATACTCAAGTAAGTACCTCAATTGCCACGAGCGCTTGAATAAAACATACAAATCGTCGCTTGGCTGACAGAAGGTCGTAATTACATTTAGAAATGAGCCTAGAAATGCATTGAGTTACATGGGCGGCAGGGTTCATCGAGAAATGTACTTAAGTCCTTACGTCAGAAGGGCGACGAAATAACGCATCGTGGGTTTTAAAATTTCAATGTATCCATAGTTAAAGCGCAAAATTACACTTATACCTTTCGATTATTATCATAAGTGTCCTTTTCATACTCCAGTTTCAATTGGAAGGAAGAAGACCTTTTTCTATCACCAATAAGAAGCCAATAACTCATTTAATAGTTGATTTTGCCATTCTTGTTCCTGAAGTTCCACTGCGGGAAAATGTCAATTATTTTTTACGGATATAAGGGAATGGAGATGTTGCATGTGTGAGAAATTTGCAATTTGACTATATCAGTGATGCCGTGTTTTCAGTTTTAGAGTCTCCAAATAAAGTGGCAGCTCTGTCAATGTATTTGCTCCCTATCTTTGCATGGAGAGTTTGTCTTGATGTAGAGGTGGACTCTCGGGATAGCGTGGGATATCCCCTCCATTTTGGTCTCAACTTGAGAGCTTTTTTTGAGCTTGGGAGTTGATTTCAGAGAAAACCAATGGCACCATCGTGTGCATCAAACTTTTACATAAGAATCAACAGTCAAATCACAAATTCTTCACACTTGCAACATCTCCATTGGAAGTAGGAAGACCTTTTTTTATCATCGGTATGAAGCCAATAACTCATTTAATAGTTTATTTTGTCATTCTTATACCTAAAGTTCTACTGGAAAAATTCCAATGATATTATTTTAGGGATGTATAAGGGAATTGGAGCAGTGAAGCAGTCGAAAAGCAGGCTTTTTATCACAGTCTTCAATAAAATCATAAAAGTAACGCGTAACACAAGGCTTGCGGCGCGAAGCGCTAAGCTGGTCGGCCTGCGAAGCGGTAAAAGGGGGAGCACTCCCTAGCAGTGAAATAAAATAAGAAACTCCTCATGATATTATATTATGCTCCAAAAAAGCATTAGGTGGAAAATTGCGCAAGCACAGAAAGGCTGCTCGATCCCAGCCTTCATTCTTGGACACGGAGGCAAAAATTGCCTTCAAAGTGGTGGGTATGCAACTTAACGACGGCCGTGTTTGAATAGTTATCGCTCGGAGTTTGACGGCGCTTCAGAGTACGCCACATGAATGAGACTATAAAGACGCGACGCGTCACTCTTTCACCGATAAAGAGAGACTTTTGTACATGAAAGTCTCCATAGCTTTAACGAGAACTCGTCCCTCTCACTTAATAAGCATTTCGAAAGGAAATGAACACGCATCGAGACTAGTTTTAAGTAGCTTATTTTTATAGGGCAGTGGTGTGCAACATCGAAATATGTTAAAACTTTAAAGTCAGTTTAGAGGATATTTAGGCCTGAAAAATTAGCTTTGGCGCTCCCCATTTTTCCACGAATAAAACAACTTGGACGACACATGGACATGGTCGACTTTTACTCAAAATGACAAACATCTATTTTATTTTCTTTCGGCGAGGAAAAAGCTAAAATCGGGTGCATGACACCCGCGACTCATTCGTAGGTATCAGATACTTTGAGTTGACTAAATTTGAACAAATTTCAAAAAAATAGTTGTATTTAAATAATTTCAAAATCATTCATCTCAGTTGAGCGAGTTGTCTGTGAAAGTGTAAAATATGTGTATGTAATTTTTACATTGCGTTATATTGTAAATTAAATACATTTTTCCAGGTTGATTCTTTGAAGTTGGTCAGCCTGCCGCGCCGACTACAATCCGATGAGAATTTTTCACTTTTCGCCTCCACACCCTCTGCTGAAAGGAGGGACAAGGGGGGCACTGCTACGCCCTCGGAATGGGGGAAGTTGGTGGGGTTCCTGGACCGAGAAGCCTCACAATTTGTGGCGACGCACGGGCTCCAAATCCCTCTGCCAAACTGGGCCGCTAATCTACCCCTCCTCTTCTTCAAAGTCTACCAGAGTCCTGCTCACCCCTCTCCACGTTCAGGTAACCAAAAACAAATGAAATATAGTCGTCCTTCTGACGGGTTCAGAAGAGTCTGCAATACATGCTAACTGCAGAGGCAATTGCAGGTTTTAGGGTAACAAAAGCTTTTGACTATTATCTACGGGCGAGGCATATCGATTGCTTAAGTACGAAACAACGTGCCTTCATTGCTGTGTTTCAAAATCTCTGCTTCGATTTTGAAACTTAAAGAAATTGTGTATAACAAAATCCATGTTCACAAAAGCACGAAAAAACGCAGAAACCCATGTAATTTGTCACATACGCTTCCGATAGACTTCAGCGATGAATCTCTCTCACTGCGTTCTGATTTGCCGAGATATGTCCCATTCCAGTCCAACTCCCCCCCCCCCCAAAAAAAAAGCCCGTGACAAAATCTTGGCGTCCAACTCGTCGTTCCGCGGACGAAAAAACGTAACTCCACCCCAAGGTCGCCAAATCGACTCAAACAATTAATTATTGTACCAAAATGTACCTGAGAAATTTTTGTCCAAAATTTTGCTGATTTTTTCACGAGGTCAGAGGGAAAATCAGTGAAATTTTCAGTCAGAAATGCGCAAGATTCTCTTTGTAAAAATGCAGTTGAGGCTACTAGTTCCAAAGGGTAAAACGTCCATTTTGGTCGAAATTGATTCGGGAGTGGATTCTTGATCAGCCAATAGAGGAGAATCGGAAAATAATTTAAGTGTGTGCCAAAACAGCCAAAATTCTTTTTAATCAGCAGGATTGAGGTATGTTGCAGCAAAACGTACAGTACTCGAAACAGTTTTTTGCGTTTTTGTGACAAACCCTTTTATGGACATCGTACACTTTGGGACTAGTAGCCTCTATTTGCAAGGGGAAATTTAGCAACATTGAAATGTAGTTACGTTCTTTCGCGAGGAAAACGACGAACTGGTCGAAAATTACGTTACGTTACGTTACGTTTACGTTAGTCTTTAGGCAGTCAGAATCCCCAAACGACTGACAAAGGGGTAACAAGTGGACCCTCGCGAAGCAGGGATTGAAATCTCAAAAAAATGCTGCATTAAGACAGTGCGTTATCCCTGGAAGCGCCGCACAGTGAATTGAGTCAATAGGAGAGGTCGGACATAATTTTGAAACTTCAAACGGTTATATCTCCGTTTATACAAAACTTTGAGGTTCTAAAAGTGGTTCCATTGGTTTCCTCGTGAAACTTTCTGTTTGAAGACCCCTTGAAATTTAAAATGTGACGGCAAAAACATCAAAATTTGCAGTTTTAGTAAAAAATGTCATGTCCGGCCGCTCTAATTGACTCGATCCACTGTGCGCCGGCAAAAAATCGAGGGGGAGGACAGGAGGGATTGATTCGGTCTGTCTTCGCGCAGAGGAGGGGCGAGGGGAGTCCTGGAAGTGTCTACGCAACTTGAATTATTCAACTGACCGTAAAAAGTAAACTTGGGCAAAAGACCCGGGATCCCGGATCGTGACCGGGGAGGGGTGGGGGGTTGGGGGCGTAAAAATGCCCCACGTGAGCTGTAAAGTTGGCGTGTAAGCGCAACATCAACATCTCTCCTGGAAACACGCGTTGGCCAACCCCCCTCCCCCTCGTCCACGCCCTCATCCCCAGGCCGGACACTGCGCTGATGGTCATTTCTATTAGCTCCTTGTCAGCTTTATCGCTGACCTCTGGCTTATATTTGTGAGTTGTTTTATTATTTTATTAGGTATTTTATGTTTCCCGCGCTTTTCTGATCCCTTGTGTGGACCGGGAGCCGCGCAGTACCTGTTGCTTCCATTTTTTTCAGGGATTTGTTTCGAGAGAGCTTCCTCGCGTAGAGAATCAATATTGCAGGAACATATCCCTGCTAAAAATGATGAGTAGGCTATTCAGAATTTGCCGACTCACATGAGTATAATTTCCTACTTATATGAGTAGAAATCCTACTCATATCACTAGAATATTCTACTCACAAGAGTAGAAAAGCTCAACTCATATGAATTCAATTTTTTTCATTTTTCAGAAGTGGTGTTTTTGACCAGGAGACACCGACATGATATGTAAATTTGAAAAATAAGAACATTTTGTTCTTATAATTTTTTTGATGTGGTGACTAGTTTCTGAGATATCGGACACGGTAGATTCAACGCTGAACTCAAGTGAGTTGAAATCTCTAGTCATATGAGTTGGAATCTCTAGTCATATGAGTCGGCGAAAAGTGAATAGAGAAATTCTGCTCACATGAGTTGAATTCTATTCGTATAAGTTGAAATTCTATTCATATGAATTCAAATTCTATTCATATGACTATGATTTTCTACTCATCTGTGCTCACCATTTTTAGCAGGGATCAAGTGTTAGTGGGTTTAATGTCATGAAAAACGTTCCAACGATAAATATATGAATAGCTTTTAAAGCGCAATTAAGTACAAGGAAATTATGAAATCTTGCAAGGCCGTACAAAACAAACACCGTATGAGACATGTTTCACATGAATTTACAAAACGTACGCCATTTTTTGTCAATTGTGTAGGAATTGAGAAAATATGCGATAATCGCATCAACATCTAGGATGGTACGCAATTATTCCCAGCAGTTTTGTGAAATCATAAAAATTCACGGATTTTACAGGTCAATAATGCGGCTTATATATGATTTGTCCGTGTGTAAGACCGCAAGTGTAAAAATATAATCACGCAGTTCTCAATATAGCAAAAAAACTCAATTTTGTTAACGATGCATGCACAATATTTGGACTGAGTTAAGCAGAAAGGAACCAACCCACATTTTGGAAAAAATTGAGTTGTGAGCGGTTTTGAACCCAACCACTGCTCTACTATCTATCGCCAAAAATTCAAAAGTTTTTGTTGGAGCAAATTTTGCAGAAATTGAACTTGAAGTTTAACTTTCACATTGAGTCTTATGCAGGAGCTAAACTTTAAGCCTCTTTTCCTCGGTTCGACCCCGATGTGGCTTGGTTCCTTTCCGTTTAACTCCGTCCATTTATAGGAGTTGGTGATTAGAAAGGGGCAAAAAACTTAGGTTTTCCTTAATTTTGCATGATAATACCACATCACATATTTACGGAGTTTGTATGGGTGCGGGCATAATTTCCTCATTTAACGATGGGAGCATCATGCTCTCTTTCATGTACATCCGTTATTTGAAGTAGGCGAAAAGGTAAGATTTTCCTTCCTTTCCGCGTGATACCACACCATATACCTAATCCAGAGCTCGAGGAGTAACGCGCTTAATTCCTGCAGTTAACGATGCGAACAGTATATCACAATGCGAATTCATTGTTCATGCAGCGGTTTAATGAGAAAGTGAGAAATTACGCGATTTTAATCTTAGTATTGGAATTAAATTGAATATTTTCCTTTAAGTTATATGTATAAAAAATTACGAGTAAAACCACCCGCAAAGTTTACACACGAAAAAACCATTAGTTCTTTAAGAAATGCGTACTATCAAGGAGAAAATTTGGAAAAAAGTAGATGTAGCTCTGCGCACACATCGTATTAAATATCTTATGAAACAAGTTTACTGAAGAAGAGATAGTTCCAAATAAGAATATGCTTGCTACCACGATAGTGCATAGGAATATAGCGTGAAGTGAAGTTACGGCAAATAAAAACGCCTTCAACCAATTGAATAGGCACACCGGCTGTAAGACATTTCGTCAACGATTTTTTGTCCGCGCACCTGTTTTTTCTAGTAGTTTACGTCCAAGCGTTTTTTCGGTAGGGGAGTTTTGGTCCACCTACCAATGAGACCCAAAGTTAATTGGTCCACATGTAAATACAGAAAACAATAATTCGTCACCTTCCAGGCAAAGTATCACAAGCGCCATGCGACGTTTAAAAATTTCCGCCCCCATTTTATTTCTTTACTGAGAAATTGTTGGTTGAATCTGTTTGGAAATTTCACTTAATTTTATCGGCAGCACAAAAAAATTCAGTGAAATTTGCGGACAGCTTCGTTGAACAATTTCTCTGTAAAAAAATAAAATGGCGGCGGAAATTTTTAAACGTCGCATGGCGCTTGTGATACTTTGCCTGGAAGGTGACGAATTGCTCACGACGTTTTTGAATGAAAATGTAAAATTTATTAGAAAAATGGGGGTTTACTTGTTTTGTTTTTTTTTGTTTGTTTGTTTGGTCCAAAGGAGAAAAACATATAATTGAGATTTTGGGTAAATTGGGAGGAGCGTCAATTCCATCAGTAAAAATTCACTACAACTCTCTGCACCTCTTTGGTGCGACAAGACTTGATTATCTTTCAAGAAAATCCCATCTTGTTATACCTGAACGGGATAAACCTTTTGATTTGCCTCAGCTAAAGGCTTTTAGATTTTTCCTGCGAACGATAACTTCGCGATTACGATAACGCCGCGTGCCGCGGCGCTTCGAGCTACTATTTCGCCACGAAGGTGTTGCACAGTATCATACGAGATTGAAGGCACCCCAAAGTATCATGATTGATGGCATCTTTCAGAAGCACGAAGTTCCCTCGGAAATTAAATTAAATGACGACGACAAAAAGAGAGCGGTAGACAAAATACTTACTAAGTCCTAGTACTTATACTCAAGTATGTTTATCATGATTTTCGAACTTCATTAGAGGAAAAAGTGACTTGATTCAAGCAGAAATATGCCAAAATTTACCGGCAAGAAGATTTCCTTATGAATAAATACAAAAAACAATGCTTGTTTAAAGAAGAAAAGATGCTTACATAAAAAGAAAAGTCACTTACATCAATCAGAAATCCGCCTTCATTAAGCTATTTTATGCTTGAAACAAAATGAAATCTTCTTAACGGCAAATTCATGAATGTTTCTACCTAAATCAAGTCATTTTTTCCCCCAATAAAATTAAAAAATTATGCTAAACGTTATTAAATACGGCTGCTAACACTTGGTGAGTTTTTGAATTGCCGCTCTCTTTTTGTGCCGTAGTAGGTATTTTGTTGATTTATTTTGCGAGGACAGCTCCGTACTCTTAAAGAACGTCTGTCATTCTTAATATGTTGTCTTCAATTTCGTATGAAACTGTGCAACACCTCTGTTCCGAAATAGTTAGTACTTGAAGCGCCGCACCATGGCGCACCGCTACGCGGCGGGTGAGTACCAGCGCGCAATGCGTGAAGTATCCCTGTTAGGTTTGTAGGCGCCAATGCACGCATTGCGTAATGCGTGAAGTATCACTGTTAGGTTTGTAGGCGCCAATGCACGTTATGCGCTGGCAGCACACCGCACTGCGCCGCGCCGCTCCGCTCTGTGTTATGCTCTAATATTTAGACTCGCGGAGTCTGCGTTTTTCAACTTATGATTTTGAAATGTTTGCCCACTCTGCATGAACTATTCTCATTTAGATTGATGGGAAAAATTATGCATTAGAGGAAAATATAATGTGTGTTCTGTGAATATTAAGGTGGTTCCGTGTCAAATTTAATAATTTCCAAAGCGCTTTGATTTTTCTTTTATATTTTGCGCTTTTACTGTGCTGCAGCGTGGTGTACACGCAACCATACGCTCAAGATTGGACTTATTTGACTCTAAAATATCGATGCACTAATGGGTTAAACCAAAGATTGCGCGCCTCTTCGTTTTTACCCCTCTTTCATTTATTTTTGTATAGTTCCTTTCAACACAACTACGGCTCATTGAGATTAATATTGATGCCATTGCTTGGAAAAAGTTCTACGCATGTTTTCCATTTTTTGGCGAGTTATTGGTTCAAATTAGATTAGTAAAATTGCCCGTTAAGTATGCAAAAAAACATAAGTTATCCATGAAACGGTTAATAATTTCATCGAGAAAATTTGGGAATGAGTAGATGTAGTTCTAGGCACATAGAGCGGCATCGCTTTAAACATCTCATCTCAGAGGGTAATTGGAGAATAAACAGCTTCAAATGAGATTCCCTTTGTTACTCGATAGTTATCCAGGAATTTAGAGTGAAGTGACGGCGAATAAAAACGCCTTCAAAGAATTGAATAGGCACACCGAGCTCCCAGGAGGTCGAATAGTGGTATCACGCCAAACAGCACATTTCTTACCTAACGTTAAATTGACCGCGTTGAACAGAAAGGAACCAAGCCACATACGTTATTGCCAAATTTAATTGAGCGATTCAATTTTTACATGAAAACAGTTGTGCGGATTTTTGTGCAAATTCCAGGAAATTTTCTGCATAATATGATGCAAATTCCTTAAAATTTTCAACGGAATCCGCACAAACGTTCACTTGTAAAAATTTAAATTGTCCGGTTAAATTTAAAAAAATAAATAGATAGATAAAACAATAAATACATAAAATATAATAATAGAGTAAATATTTTTCGGTTTTCATTGGCCAGTTAATCAATTCTAAAGTTGCATTTTATGTTTATTACCTATTCAACTATTGATGAAATATGAAGTTTGAGCTTTTTCAACTATAATGACAAAGATATTGGTGTTTTATATTTTATTTTTGGTGTTTGTAGAGGACTAATTAGAACTTCTTCTAGAATAATCATTCGCTCCAGCTGATGTGGCTTAGTTCCTTTTTGCTAAACACGGTCCAAATTATATATGTTTTAGGTTCAGACCCAGACTCAGGCGCAGAGGACCCAGACCGCCGCGGATCGACGACCGGAAGCTACAAGAAGTTCTACCTGCTGTTCCCTCTGATCGCGGTCTTCAAGTTCCTCATCATCAAGCTTCTCCTCATCCCGATCCTCATCGGCGTGTTCGCCATCAAGAAGATGCTCGTGGCGGCGGCCATGGCCCTGCCCACCCTCCTCCAGCTCTTCCGCTGCCCCCGCAACCCCCTCGTCCCTGGGGCCCCCGGAGCCGGAGGGCTCCCACCCTTGCCCGCCGGGAACCTCGTGGGCCTCCTCCCGGCCGCCTATCAGGGCTACACCGCCACCGCCTCCGCCGTCGCTGAGCCCCTGGTCACCGACTACTCCCACTACGGCTACCCCGCGCGCCTACACCCCCCGCCTCACGCGCTCTATGCTCATCCGCATCCCCATCCCCATCACGCACAGTGGGAGAACCTTAAAAACTACAAGTCTCATGAGCTTGACTGAGGCTCGTACGACACCCAGGGGACTGATCATTGAAATTGATAGATAAAGCAATAGACAAAGAAGACAAAAAAAGATATGGATGGATTAGTGAACGCGGGTGGTTGTAATGGACAAAGGACGAAGGTAATAGACTAACTAACGGCAACTCACGAGAGACTCGATAGTTAGTCCATCATTTACCCCCTTGGTCTATAAGAAACACCCATTTCAACCAATAGGTTCGCTCTATACTCCTAATGTCTTCTTTGTCTATAGCTTTGTCCATGTCAATAATCGCCCCGCAGGGACATAAAACAAAAAATCTCTAGTGCAACTTCCCAAGAATAGCTCAGATTGCGATAAGTAGCAAATTAGCAATTGCATTGTACAAATATTTCAATTCCACTGAGTGTTAAGTATGTTGCCTAGCTCCTATTTGAAGGGGCCCCATTTATTGAAACTTATAGCATTAAAATTGGAGTAAGTTTTGCAATTTGTCATTGCATTGCGTATTGCCTATCTTTCTGACACATGGAGTTCATTTTGTTGATTGTTTAAAATCGGCATAAATCGACAAAACGAGGTAAAAATATTGTAATTTTATGGTAAAAAAATATAATTTTATTGAAATTAAATTGCAATTTAATTTCAATATTTTTGTTGCACTGTGCTACTTGGGTCCTTCTACATATTTTCCACTCGTATACTGCCGTGCTAAGGAAAAACGCCATATCAGACGTTGCCGTATTTTTTTCGATGAAAAAAGAGTTGACGAAGAAAATTGTGAACATTTTTCCTCGAATGTTTCAAACAACTTCGTTCGAGATTCGATCTAAAGTCAGGGCGGGCAAAAATTAAGTACTCATACAAAACTTTTTCAGCACCTTTCCAAAAAAATCAGTACCTCATAAGTCGTATGCAGAAAAAATTCTGTACTTTTTTGGAACCTTTAAGTGGATTGTTGACTTGTCAAGTACAATCCTAGCTTGAGCACGCTTATACCTACTGTGCGGTCAAAACTGCACTAGCGGCAAAGGAAAACCGCGACAAGCTCATCGTGGAGCCGGCCACTTCAATATTTAATTAATCTTCCATCGCATTGCTAAGGCGCAACGATACAACTATTCGTACTCTCCGAAATGCGTGAGGTATCACGCCCCAATTGAAGGCGTTTTCGAAACTGCCAAATTTCTATAAAAAACGCCCGTGGCATGAAGCAAAAAATTCCGGACTTTTACAGGGGAATTTCCGTACTTTTTCGGTACTTCCGGACCGCCAGCAAAAAATCATAACTATTTCCAAACTTTCCGGATTTTCCTGACCAGAGGACAGCTTCAAAATGTCTGAAAATTTTAAGTAAAAACATGCACAACTTTACTCAAAAATACATGTTTTCTTCAAAGAAATATGGCAAGTCTTGGATATTCGTAGGGCGTTTTTCCTTATCACGGCAGTAAAACGGAGTATTCATAAGTTACATGACGCTCTAAAGGGGAAGGGGTATGATCCTCCATGACACGCTGCGTTACAAGGGGGAGGAGTCAGTGCCAGCCTTACGCAACCCTGCCTTTCGGTAAAAAACATACAAAATCTTAAGAAAGTTTGTGCAATCTTTAGTTGATAGCGAAAAGATCACGGCCCGCGTTATTTCTCACACTATCATTAAAAATACTGCTATTTTATCCGTGTATATATTCAACAGTTTCCCACAATTTTTTTTTGGGGGGGGGGAGGGTCAGTCAAGCGTTATATGATTATTAGGGGGAGGCCCTGGTTGCGTTACCTTGTATTACAAGGGAGGAGGGGGGTCAAAAATGCAGTAAAAATGAGAGATGTAATTTATGAATGTTCCCTGTGATGCAAAAGCGTGCACTTTAATGCAGAGAAGTTTGAGATGCTTCACTTTTTCCCTTCAACATCATTTCAAAAGTGTACAATATGGTTCCAGTAATTTTATATCTAATTAGAAAGAATTCTGAGGTTTTGTCTGATCTTCTTTGAAATTAAAAGGAATAAATAAAACATGTTTGCATAAAATTTGCGTAATTCTGTTCACTTATCCTTCTGTGAAATGAGTTATTCAATGGCGTTGGGAAAAAAATCGAGAAAAATGGGACTGATACTAAAAAACCTTGGTGAAAATGGATAATTGGTGGTGAGTACCTACTTGCTCATAAAGTAGATCTAATGGCGAAACTGCGTCAAATAATAAGCAGTTTCAAAAGAGTTTGCGGCATTGTAGACTTCCTGTAATACTTTTTTAAATGGAAAGCTACTCAATGTCAATTCTTGAAAACTTCCAGGTTTTTTTTTTCTTCGTGCCAGGAAAATTCTGTGAAAATTTCAAGACATGATATTAATTCTTCTCCTTCAAAAAAATAAAATGAGAGCCGAGATTTTTAAACACCGCCAACGAGATATGTGGTGTGGTAACTTTGCCGTTGACATATCTCTGTGACAAGCAAGACTGCAGACTTCATTACTGAAGTAGAATAGCACTGTGTTGCCGATTTTCAAAAGTATTCAACCCTCTTGTCAGTTGATTTATCAGTCAGTTGACTTTGCAATGAGACAGTGAGACTAAAAAAATACAGAAACCCAAAAATTATCTGAGTATTACATAAATGCTGCGGACAGTTTATTTACAAAAATATATATTCTTCTTAAGAGTTTACACAATTGAAAAAATAAAAGTGTATTAAGATGAAAACAAATTGAAAGACGGAGAAGAGAAATTACCTGTACAATTATAAAAATATTACAAATGAACTTATATCAGGCTTAAAGTCTACTTAACAAGAACTGTACAGATTTTCACTTCGCAAGTGTGATCAAGTTACAAGCACTATTTCTAAAATGAGCTGTATTGAGCTTGCACAGTTTAAAAAATAACTTTCAAGACCTGCATTTTTGAACTTAGAATACAAAACTCCTTTTGTAGCCCTAGAGTACTGAGCTTACAACTTTGATAACAGAAAAATACCATTTTTATTTGAACCATTCTCGAAAAAAAAAAAATAAAAATCTCTTGTGACAAGTTTCTTATGAAAAGTCAATTTTCAGCCACAAATTTTAATGAATAATGTTAAGGATATGAATAATGTATACTTTGTACTTTACTTTCTGTCTGATATTAAATAATCTTAGGTATCTTATTAAATATGTTTTGTAGAGGGAGATGTCTTGTAGACATGGCTCATCCATGCTCAAGAATAAAAAGTTAAGCACATTTATCTCTCTCTCTCTCTCTAAAAACACGTTTTTTCCCCTGTGTTGTGATTTTGAGTTGGTATTTTAAGTTCTTAATGTAAGCAGATTGCACTCCCTACATGAATAAGATGTCTCTCCGAACGATCTACCTAACATCAAATGATTTGTTATTCCTTGAAGATGAGCGTTCATGGTTGATAATCAGTAAAACATCATTCCAGCATTTTTCAAGTACTTTCCAAAAAATTAAGCTCTTTCAAGGCCTTGAAAAAATGTCAACATCATGCACTTTTTAATGCAGCACGAACTGCTGTCAATACCTTAGAGACCCCGAAAATTCTTTGGTGCAATTTACTATGATTTAAATCTTTACTCCCATCATGTTCGACATAAACGAGAGAAATGATTCAGGAATTCCAGTATTCTCGCTTTAAAGCTAGCTAAAATGTTGGGACCTTGTTCATTTTTGTTTGGTGACATGAAAAAACTAAAATAATAAAAAATTTGCTTAGGAAATAGGTGTTCCATTCTTTAAGAATTCTCTGTTCTTGAAGAATTTCTAAGATAAACAAATAAAAGGTAAAAATCTTGAAAGTCTATCAGTAAGACGGCAAAAATGAATTAAGTTATCTTTGACGTAAAAAAATCACCAGAATTACGATTGTTACGTTATGAAAGGATTAGCTGAGGTACTTTGGCTGAGGATTGACCACAAGGCTGAATGAGATCAGGATGATTGCAAAGAAACTTTTCTCATTCTAAGAATTTTCTTCACGTGAAGAGTTCAATTTTTTCAGAGATCTTTTGCATCAGCTGAGCTCCTTGATTTTGAACATCCCTGCAGACAAAATAAATTAAAAAATTAATGATCAGGGATACATAATGTAAATCATCACTTGCAAAAAAGGGCACAGGATGACAGGGGGGGGGGGGTGAATGTAGCATAGAATAATGGTTCATATTTAAACCAGAATATAATCCGTAATTTGTTGTGGAGCCAACACATAAATCTATTCTAGCTCTGGAATTTCCACTAAAAGGTGAAATATTGTATACAATGTGTATTTGAGGTTAATAATTTCCAAAAAATTGAAAGAACTTGATAATGGTAAAATTACTTTGACAAACTTAACTTGTGAATCTCAGTCAAGACTTAAAATGCCAATTGTCTTGACCTAACGTGTTCCAAAATTGGGACAGCTATCAGGTGCAAACACTTACTGTTTTTCTTAACTTCGGAAGAAATCTGACAAAGGTGCTTGAAAATAAAAAGTAAGAAAGCAGAAAGTAGAAAGAAAAAAAAGAAACTATTTCATTTCAAGCAACAAAAAGAAGCACTGGCATATTTTTTTATTAATATCACAGTTGTTCTTGATAAAGAAAAGAACTGATACATTTTAAGTTTGACCTTGAAAAGTTCAAAAATTAACCATCAGTAGATGCGTATTAACTTACAGTTCATCAAGATTATGTTCTTGATCGATAAGACAAGCTGAATCGTTCAAGTTAGAGTCATCACGAGATGTACGGTATTTCATCATTACGTCATTCGTCAGCTTCACCGTTGCTTTGAATTCAGCCTCCTTGAATTTGAATTTGTTCATTGCTAGCGTAAATAGCAAACTAATGGTTGCGAGGATTTGGGCACCATTCTGAAAGAGGAACATCAATTTTTGTAGACTTGCTGTGATATAAAATTAGTTTTTAGCCATATCCTTCCCCCAGAATTTTTGCTATTACTCAAGAACCTCTGTTCAAAGGTATTCTTATTTGTGGCTCAATCTATTGAGCTGGATCTGAACTACAATTTTAACCACTTTCAGACTGAAAATTCTCAGATTTATCTGCAGAGATACTAATTTCTGTTGCGGGATATACGCTTGCAGAATCTAGCCTTGTAGTGAATAGGATAATGGTGAAAATAGTTTTCTTAAAGGACTTTAGCATGTTCAAGTAATACTTACCAATATGAAAAACTGAGCAATCAAAAACTTTCTTCTAAGCAGCAATACTGCACTTATTTTCCTTGCGATTATCAAGATTATGGGGAAAAAATCTAGAGTGTAGATTTTTCTTTCACTTTATGATACTAATTTAACTTTTCAATTCTGAGTAATTCAAGGGTTGCCTACCATCTCTACTACTGGTTGAATACAGAGCGTATTTTATGATTTGACTGATGATAAAGGACCACTCACTTAATCAACTTAATTAGATATTTGTGCGAAGTTACACAAATGACTTTATAAAAGTGTCTGATGCGAATCAATCTGTATGATATCTGACATCATATTTTTAAATGACTTACGTGGGCATAAAGTTCAGTGACATTCCTGTTAAGACACGTGAGGAATAATGAGCAGAAAACAGGCCGAGAATTGATGAGAGTCAACAAGAAATTTGTGAAAAATGGCAAGTTGTTCAGTTTGACAAATTGCACAGCGACATTATTCTGCAAGGCAAAGCAAAACAAAATATGACTTAAACACTGCGGGAAATAAATCTACTCATTTATACTTAAGAAAGAACATTAAACTGAAATAAAAAGTTGTAGAATTTTATTTTCGCTATACAAACAGCTTGGTTTTTTGATACTGAAAGACATTTTAACGGAAAAACTCTCTACCACTTACCTTGTTCTAGTGTTTTAAAATTGTCGCCCCCATTTTATTTTTTCAAAGGAGAACAAATCAACATCATTCCTTTAATTTTTCTAGAGCTGAGCGATTAATTGAAAGTTAATCGTAACAGCTATTAAGTTTTTTAATTATAATTGTAATCAAATTATTTATTTTACAATTTTGTGAGCAAGCCCATTAACAAATAAGTACAAGAAATGTATAACAAAATAGCCACTATTCAAAGAGATGGGTTACTTTGAGAATTGAAAAATTAATTCCGATTGGATTGAGTCGATTATTTATGGAATGAGATGATGGGAAAAGATGAGCAGAGAAAAATGTAGTGCATAATAAAATACACAGGACTGGAATGCTTACCTTGAGAACTTCAATCATGAAACTTTGAACCACAGCTTTAGCAACTATATTGATGATGCGAGGTAATATGCTGTTCGTTTTGTCTTTGGCATGGACTTCAGCATAATTCAAGAACACTTCTCTCAGACATTTCTTCATACCAATAATATCCTGAAATGAAAGAAAAATCCAAGAATTTATTTGGGTTAGTAAAAAATAAAATTGTTATGATTTTTGTTCTATTTATAATAATTTCCATTTTCTGAAACACTAAACCTTCTGCTGTTTTTATAATTACTTACTTGTTTTATAATTAGTAATTTTTCAATAAATTTAAATTTTCCACAAACCATATATATCTAATCAATTGATTAATCTTAATATTCTTTGTACTAGTCTTGCCTTTGTTTGTTATGGTTTCTTCCACCTTAGATTCATCAGTTAGAGGCACACACAATCATTTGCTTTTGGTTACTCAACTGAAAAGACGGATAAAATCAAGGTAAGAAAAACCATGGTATGCGTCACCACGATGTGTGATATCATGCAACCGTGTTTTTCAAATGGCAATATCTATGTTGATATAGAACGAGGAAACTTAGCATTTGTATGGATCTTATTATTCGCTGAAATCTGAATTAATCAAAATACGATTCTGTGAGTAGCGTAATTGACTCGTTGCCAGCCTTCCTTCTCTAAAAAAAACCGATCATCGTATCATAAGGGCGAGAAAATAGTAAAATAATGTTTTACCTTGACACACTCCAAGATCCTATCATGATCGTAGTTTTTGAAGGTTGCAGCAGTCAGAATACATTCCAGGAAGTGAGGAACAATGGTCTTATAGACATTATTTAGACGCTTGGCAGAGTAATAACTCGGAAACATGCTCATGGCTTGGCTTAACATATTGACAGAGCTCTCCAAAACAAGCAAACCATTCTTGCCTGGAATTGAAAGTATTTATACATATTAAACGTTTAACTGATTCAGTGATGGTTGTTGCATGCAAAGAATATTTTCATCCCAACTTCCGAAACTCTTTAATAAATATTATGTAGTTAGATTAGTCAATTGTATGTTGCTTTTTTAGAATGTTTTACCCACACAGACAGAAAGAAAAGAAAGAAAAAAGCTAAAACTTATATCCAAAGTTGGGTATTGATACTAAAAATTTCGCCTAAACTGCAACACACCTCCTGAAAAGTATATTATGTCTACCTTGCTAGACATTTTGATTGAAAAAATAGGCAATTAGTAATTGTAATCATTCATATCATTCACCTGGGAATGGGTTCAAGCTGTTTACTGCATGAGATGAAGAGGCAATGGCCTCTTATCAGACTAAAGGGGATTTATAAGAGCAGATAAATATAGCTCAAGGGGAGGGAGGGAGTATGGTGTTTAGCGAAGGTTTAAATCACACGCCAGCAAACCTTTCCTGATGCTGTCGAGACCTTAACTGGTTTTTCAAGGCGTATTACATGATTGATAGCTAGACAGCAGCTACTAGCAGACACTCAATGATGAGGCGTCCCAGATTTGAGGGCACTCAGAGGTTTTCTCTTGGAATTCAAGACAAGAAACAGATTGGACTTTTATTGAAATTTGCATGAATTTCCCAGGATTTAAAATTAGCATACGCATCACACATTAATTATCCTCCTTGGAAAAATAAAAATACGGACTAATTTTCCAAGCATATATTCATGAACGAATATATTTGAGCAATTTCCCAAGAACTTGAACACTTGAAACATATTTCATGATATTCGAGGACTTTTCAAGGTGCCACAAACCCTGTTTTCGGAGACTTTGACTTACCACAATTAAGACATCTACTGAGCACTTTCAGCATTTCTGCCAAGACAAGTCTATCAGCTTGCTCAAGCGCCAGCAACGTCCTACCAGCTTGAATGATAATATTGATGAAAGAACATATGATAGGCTCCGGCTGCGTCTCCAGATTTTCAACGAGGGTCCTAAAATCAAAAGTTAAGACTCTACGATCAACTTTTGAAAGAATTATTTAAAAGCAGAGTGAAATTTACAAAATATTTCAATGATGTGCTCGTTAGTTTTCCTTTAAAAAAAAATGGGAAAAGACTTACGAAGTCGCAATCTGAGATACGCTTTTTCCGACTTTAGTTATCAATATGTTTCTATACAAAGATATGATTAGGGAACTTCTGAGATAAAGGCTTTTACCAAAAAATCAAGCTAAGAGAAAAAAATTTCTAAAATCTCCATTATTGTTTTCTGATTGCTGCCTTGATGGAATTTTTCCATGTGAACGTTTTTTAAGTGAGAAGCATCTTCTGTTAAATATGACATGCTGCTGCATTCATGATAACTGATTTGTTTACCACAAAAATCCTTTGATTCCTAACTAAAGAGAATGATACATAAAGAAGGAAGATTACCTTTCACACCATTGTAACAGACCAGAGTAAAATTCGGTGGCATTGAAAGCTTCTGCGGCAGAAGTTGCCGAGAGTTCTCCCTCCGGGTCTTTATGTAACATGATGGCCAGTTTCAAGTAAGTGTAGAGACACTGGTTCAGAAATTCATCCGATAGTAATTCAGATGCGAACTCTTCTTCATTCTCTATCCTTTTTTCAATCAAAGTCTGAAACCAAAAATCATGACAAATGAAATAAAAGAATAATAGTTAGAATTGAATTGGTCATTCTTAAAAAAAACTTAAGCACATAAAAATCGAAAATTGAGTTTTAGGTGGTTAGGTAATGCTTAGGCATGGATGCATCTTGCTAGGTGACAAGCAAAAAGACAGATATTTGAGGCTTAAATAATACCTGAAAAGTTCAATCAATCTAATGAAAAGGACTCAAGCTCCAAAGCGTTAAATAGTATTCGCTTATCTTGATTTGATCGGATTCCAATCCAACATGCAATTATCTCGAATCTTCAAGAATGAAGGCTTGAATATTTGTCCTTTCAAGCCGAATGGTTCTTTATTTCTGAGATTTTAGTAAGTTTTTGCATTTGTAAGCGATCATCAGTGAGTAAATTGTCATCGTACTTTAGGTACAGAAAGAGTAAAGGAAAGTCTCATCATCTCATCATCAAGAATCAGTGCACATTATGGCTTGAAGTACTAGAAAATATTTTTGAAATAAATTTGTTCATTCTCAACAAGACTCGAGCACTAATTCGTTTTTTCATATTTTTCTGTCCAAATTGAAAGGAAATTTCTGAGACAACCAAAATCCGATCTTGAATTGCAATCTCCTCACACATTCATTTTTTAGCCTCTGAGTTTTAGAACCCGTCAATTAAAACAGTTATTACTGTTTTCCTCTAATTCTCATTTCCGGCACTTAAGTCTTTTAGAGAAAAATACTCTACGTGCTTTCAAAAGGAATTGCTTTAAAGAGGGAACTATTTACCTTTTCTTGAAATCATATTTCAAAAATGGAGCTGAATTTTCATGGAGTTTCCAAGAACGTAGACAATGAAGAAAAATGATACATATTTCTGAAATATGGTTAGAAAAATGGCGATGACTACGATAAAAAAAACAAAGGGATCAATTTCAAAATTTTAGAACATGGGGGAGAAGAGGAATAAAAATATATGCAGCTCAATATGTTCCGAGGTTAGGCATCGCAACGTAAATCATTGGGAGACCTTGCAAGAGATAAAAAAATGTTACCTTGATTCTTTCCAAGTAATTGAAAAGCTCGAAGAACTGATCATAGTGTTTGGTTAGAACTCTCTTTTTGTCAACTGGGTTACTGAAAATCATATCTATCAGTTTGAGACCACATATTGGCTTTGCGTCTTTGGTTTCAAACCTGATCTTCTTCTTCCTTGTGGTGGTTCTATCCCGATGGGTCTGTAAAATTTTCATAAAAAACATTTCAGGATTAATGATCGTACCCAAAAAGCACTGAAATTATAAAATGTGATAACTTAAGAGCAAAATCAGTGCTGGCAGGATTCTTGACAGTTCCTAAAACCAAAGTCAAGGATTTTACAGAGTTAAAAAAGTAAAATCATGGACTTATAAGGACGCGTAAAAATTTTTAGAGACAGCCTCAAATTTAAGAGCTTTTCTGGAACTAGGGAGTTTGTTGCAGAAAGACGATTGACACTTTGATTAAAAACTCTGTTAAGGGCCTAATTCTTTCTTTTAATTGGACTTCATTTTGTGTTTGGGAACTAAAATCTTTGCCTTAGTTCAGAGACAACGTACGTACTATTTGTTTTCTCATGCACAAACTTCTTCATAGGGATGAGCTAGAAACTACAGTTCCTAATTATAAAAGAAGTCCAATCAAGGCTTATAAGTTTCTCATTTTGTAGATCAGACTGTTGTTATTACTGTTTGTTTAAGTATTGTTTTTGTGGCAAAATTGTATCCTTCACTCCTGTCATGGTTCTGTTTGGTATTCTACTTTTGTAATACATTTATTAATAAATTAATAAAATGTACTTAAATTGCAAATCCCTGACACATGCAAGAGCTCCATTATAATTCAGTGTTACTTACAGGTAAAACGGAGAAATTCAAGTTTTCCGCTTTGAAAGAGTCGTTGAGCCAATCATAAACCAGCTCAATGATATCTAGGCCTCGATTCCACGAGCAAAGTGTGCTGACGATGCACCGGCATTCCTGATACTGCATCACATGACCGCAATGCCTCAGTTGTGAGACGCATGCGCTGGCGATATGGCACACTCCTAATATTTTTGAGAGGGGAATCAAGCTTGCCAACTGGAGAACGCCAAAGAATGTCTCGGTCCCCTGAAAACAAGGAAATCAGCTTGTGATGAAGAGGTATTGTTGGACCTAAGAATAACCTTATTCCTGAATATTGAAAATCAGATTTTTCATCACGAGTCAGCTGCTTTCTAGAATTGATTATGTATTGAGTATTTCCAAAAATGAATTTTTTGAGGGAAAAGACGAAGAGATTGTGAAAATGTTTTTATAGTGTTTTGAATTGTTTTCCGTAATGATTCAGTCGAACTTGTTTGTAATTAACAAGAGCATAATTTCAACACAGACAACTGGTTTTTTACAAATCTTCTCACCATACATCTGGTTACCTTCAAAAATTCTTCAAGAATTTAATAGGTACAATCAAACGCCCCTTAATTTACATATCTTATTATTTCTTGCCAGTCTTTACTAACCTCTAAAACCATCAGGACACAGTTCTGCATCCAGTGTAACTGACTCATTGGAGTGTCTATCCTAACAACCAGATGCTTCGTTATTTCTTAGCAAACAGCATTTACCTCTGACGATTAGTGAATAGTAAAATTCAAGCACTTTCCAAGGTCTCACAAACCATGCAGATCAAGGTTTTATTACAAGAGAAACGGAAACTACACATTATGAAAAATTACCTTAAAATATTTCAACATGATAGGAATCATGGAAACCGAAAGCTCATAAAGATCCTCCAGATCTTTCTCATGGTCTCTGGAATTCAAAGTGCCAGCATGAATGATCCATAACAAAGAAACGATATCAAACAATGCATGACTGACAGGTAACTCATCGAAAGGAGTGAGCTTTTCAACACTGCTTGCTACGCTTTCCTCTGCTTTCGACGCTGAGACAGAGTCATTTATCTTTGATGTATTGGAGTCACTGCTGTCTCCGGAAGAGGATTTGGAGGTGTCCTGACAACTGTCATCTGAAACACGGAGATTGATAAAATTTAAAGATGAATAAATACAATAGAAAAGAAAATGATTGAGCCAGTATACTTGAGATGTAACTCTTACTCAATACCCCAAGCTAAAAAGTGACTCTGCCCCTCAGCAACCACTGTCCAAGACGTCTTATAAAAATAACACTTTGGAGTTATTTTTTTCAGATGTTTAAAACATAATTTCAAATACAGATCATGAAGCGGACATTATTGAGCTAAATCAGCCGTGGAAATGGTGATGGTTCTTGGCCTTCCCATTTTTCAGGAAACCTTTACATATTAAAAACCATTTTCCCGAGTTTTCAACAGTTGCTGTGTTTTTTAGGTAAAACTTTAAAATTCCCCAATTTAAAAGCCTTCAATAAAGCCGAAATTCACTCCTTTTGTATATAAATGTTGCAAGCATTTTTGATTTTTCTATCATTACTGTAACTCTCTGAGCGTCTGAGCCCCTGAATTTTCATATTATTATTGCGGTTATCAACATGTCGTCACCTTTCAGGCAAAGTATCACAAGCGCCATGCGACGTTTAAAAATTTCCGCAGCCATTTTATTTTTTTACAGATAAATTGTTCAACGAAGCTGTCCCAAAATTTCACTGAATTTTCTTTGTGCTGCCGATAAAATTTAGTGAAATTTCCAAACAGATTCAACCAACAATTTCTCAGTAAAGAAATAAAATGGCGGCGGAAATTTTTAAACGTCGCATGGCGCTTGTGATACTTTGCCTGGAAGGTGACGATGTGATAGCCCTCGGATGAACCCGCTATTTTCAGATTTTGGAAAAATCAATATTTAAACTTTTTTGTAAGGAAATAGTAAAACGACACTTACCATCAACGTTATCTGTCTTTTCTGATAGTGGTCGGTAATGTTTCCGTCGTTTCTTGAGCTTTGGTTTCAACTCGTCAGGAATATCATCTTTTTCTGCTGCAGCCTCCTCTCTTGCTTCCCGAGCACGCATTCTTGCCATTTTATCCATGATATGAGCACGTACGGTTGATAAAATCACCATCATTATCCGATACGCTTCTTCGTAATGAAGTAATTTTGACGAATATTGAATCAATTTCCGACCAGCAGCTGGATTCAACTGTACCAATTTTATAAGTCTCTTCAACGTGACTTTATCGTCATGGTTCTTGGAGAAAATATTGCTAAAAAGCAACTCGGTCAAAGCCTTTGCGACTGATTCATTTTCCTCTTTCTGAAACAAAATACACACAAACAGAAAAATTGATCAAAAGGATAAAAAAAGGACTGTAGCCCAAAAAAGCTTAAATATGGTGTTAACTCAAATTTTACTTTAGATATTCCTGATATTTTAAAAGAATATTCCCAATTAGTTTGATGAATATATCAACACTTAATGATTTTACAAACCAACATATTTAATTAATTAAGAATTAAATAAAATGTTCCACTTTTGCATGTACTAAACCGCATATAATTGAAAAATGTAATTAAAATCCTAGAGATATCTTTAGAATCGAAAAAAAAATCGTAAGAATTCTCACCCCAAGTCGCATTGAGATGAGCTTGATATCAGAAATTTTCCAGTATTGCAAGTCTTCCAGATCAGCCTCCTTCACTTTTTGTAGCATGCGAATGAAAGAAAGACGCACTTTATCGCATTCGTCACCCAAGTAATTTCCCAAATTTTTTAGAAGTGATGTGAGATACTCATGGCACTGCTCGTTGTCAATTAAACTGGAGAAGCCTCGGTAAACAGCGCAACGCACATCACTTGATGAGCCATCATTGGTGCAGTCATTGATTATAATTTGGAAAAGCTTTTGCAGCGATTCTGGAGAAAATGTATTCCAATTTGACTTCATACAAGCAAACACTCCCTGAAACACAAACGAGACAGACATTTAATGTTAAAAGTCAATCAAAGACATCACAAACCTGAACATAAAAATAGGAGAATTAAAACAAGACTTCCTTGCATAATTTGGAGAATTTTTCCAAGAGTATTTAAAAATTCTGAATTTATTGTATTTTTTACAATGTTGCGTTAAAACTAGCAACATGATTTTATTCTTCATACACAAACTATTCCTGATTCACAAATTAATGATAAAAAACAACCTCTTCATTAAGTTACTTAGTTCTGATGTTAAATTATTTGCATATCCATATCCTTTCTCTTCTATACCTTTTACAATACGGCAAAAAATTCGGTTTCACAGAGAGAAGAAGACTTTCCTAGTGCACTGAGAAAGTGGGATGCACATTAGACTCTTGACATTTTTATTCGTGAATCAGAAAAAGGGTTTTTTTTTTTTTTTTTTTTTTTTAACACATAATAACCTTTGAGCCATGAACTTTCATCAATTAGTATATAGTTTATGGGCTTGCTCACCTAAAAAAGTTTAAAGACAAAATATCGTCAAAGAACTTCAACTTCACCCTTTCTGTACAGAGAATGATTCACAGACATTTTTCATTTCTATTATGAATTTTAAATTTTCTCATTGCTGTAGCAAATACATCTTTGATGAGAAATTGGACAAGAGAACTTACCCTGACAGCTAGCACTCTCACAAGATGGCTATCATCAACCAGCAAGTCTGCCATTTCCTGATGTTGTCGATCAAGATGCATTATACGGTCAGGTTTAGCTTCTCCATGATATTCCAACGGATATACATCGAAAAATATTTCTGCAGCGTTACAGCGAATCAGATTATTTTCGAACTGTAACAAAGGGACAAAATTTACAAATAACGCCATATTTTTGTCATTAAGGACTACAGTAAGACCTCGATTTAGTGGATCCCGATTTGATGGATTCCGCAATTTAATGGATCAATTCGACAGTCCCTAGGAATCAAATAAATTGAGGTCTTGCTGTATTTCAGATCTTCAGGATCACATTTTCAATAGAGATCACAAGTTAATTTTGCTTAAATAACAGAGCTTCCTTGATGCTTGTTCTCAAGAGAGCATATCGACAGTGAAACTCCCAATCCCCATATCTCGTTAGTAGTGTTTAAAAATCTCCACTCCCATTTTATTTTTTTGAAGGAGAACAAATCAACATCATTCCTTGAAATTTTACAGAATTTTCTTCGCACAGAGAAGAAAAGTCACAGAAGTTTTTAAGCACTGATGTTGAGTTGTTTTCTATTTCACAAATAAGTGATAAACGAAAGTCTGCAACAATGCAAACCAAGATACATGGCTTGGAAGCTTCTTTGTCGATAAATGCTCTGCAATGTTTGATACAGGTTTTTATAAAATACCTTGACTGTTATTCGGTCTATTTTTCTGTCATGTTTATCTCCAGAATGATATTCTAACGAAAAACGGTCTGCGATGCAATCCATTTACTGTAAAATGCAAATCCACCAATATCAATTCACACTTTTCTTAAGATCAGTGCTCTGCCTTCCCCAGGCGCCATGCGCCAAATGCGCTTAAAAATCAGGCCTTGGCGCCTAGAAATTGGGGGGGGGGGGGCTGGGCCATCGTGGCGCCTAAAAAATTTAACAGACTGAACTTGCAATCGAGAAGCAGCGGAAGGGATGAAGCCCTCTCTTTACGCACCATGGCCATTCGCCATGGCCCGTATGCAAAAATTTAATTTGGCTCCTAAAAAATAGTAGATGGCTCCTAAAAATTGAGCTTCCCGGCCAAGGTGACTCCTAAACTTTTAGGGGGAAGGTAGAACACCGCTTATTATCATTAAAATCAAATAGGTATACGTGATTTTTGTTGGTTTTTCATGAGGGGGGGGGGGAGAACTTACAACTAACTATATTTTGGCGAATGCTGAAGGTTTACTTCTTTTTCCTTACTTAATGTGAGTAAATACTTCAAAATCTTGCCCACTGAGAAAATTTATTAGTTTATTTAGTGGAAATGTGTCTGAAAAAATACATTGATAAATGAGAACTTACATGTAAATATCTCCACAGCAGAGGCGTATAAAGGGTGGTGATCGCTTTGCTGAGCCTTAAGTGCTCTCGTTTGTTGTGCAGGAACGACAGTATTGTGAAGACATTGTGACCTAAATTCGACATCTCAAGTCCACTGCGCTGGATAGTAAATATTGCCATCATATAATTTTGAAAGCATTTGTTTTCAACCGCCTGGAAAATAGAAAACACTCAAAATGATTACTGATTGCAAAATTATCTGCAAGCAATTCAAATGGACCTCCATTTTGGACTAACACATGCTTTTTTAGTAATAAATATCTTGTGTACATTAGGGATTTACAATTTAAGGACTTTCCTTCATATACAATTTTGTGCAAATTCTAGAAGGGGCCAAGCGGCATATTATGTTGCTCTTAAAACATAGAGCATGAACCCTAAGCATGAAGTAGAAAAAGATAGGAATTTTAAGTAAAATACAGTACTGCATGTAGAGACCCCATTTCCTCGTGATTTGTAATGACCCAAATTCTGGCTAAAAATCCCAAAATTCTCGCTAATAACTGCCAAATTCTTGCTAAACTTTTACCGCACTTCTCAAATTATTGCTAAAAAACTAAAAAGTATCGCTAAAAATCCTAAAATTCTCACGGAAAATCCAAAAATTCTAAAATTCTCGATACTAACTGCCAAATTCTTGCTAAAAATGTGTGATTTTTTTCATCTCTTATTTTACATTGGAAAAACGTGGTTGGCAGTGCCAGTGGTTTACTGCAAAATGAAGCACAAATCTATGATTGGTTGACGAAGGAAACCGGAGTTTCACGAAGTTTCCTGCGTCCCGCCCACTGGAATGATCAGCGGCTCCGAACACGATAAAGCTCATTTTACCAAGAATTTTCCAGCAACAGCGCAAATTACGCCGGAATTTGCAAATTCTCTGCGTAAACTGGCGAATTCGCGCCAGAATTTGTGTCTAATTCCGAAATTCGCGCCAAATACCGAAATTCGAAATTCTCAATTACATACTCGAATTCAATGGAACTCCATGATGCGTCTGAGCTTGGTCCAAGAACTTAAAAACGACTTTTTGAACATTTGCGCGAACGAATTTCTGGGGTCTCTATGCATAGGACATAATTTCTACATGAAAAAGTCTACATCGAAGAAACATTCTAGACTTTATTAAACGGCACAAATTACAGTTAACTGATCTTAGGCAGTCAGTGGAGCAAACCAAGTACTTACTTTTCTGACTTCTTTGTTTTCAGCAGAATGCAACCAAGCGAGGTAATACGCTTCACCGTAGCCATCGGCATGAGCTCTCTTTGTTTGAGGGACCGCCAATACATCTTTGATAGCTTGGTGAAATCTCTGAAAAACACATTACATTCAACATTATTAAGTACCTATCTAAGCCTTGATGAAAAAACTGGAAATGGTGTAACTTCTCATGAGCTGACACTGACAAAGTATGGAAAATTTTCCAGTCATGGAGGGTATCCAGCTGTTACAGGTTTCAACAAAACTGTCCAGCATAAAAACGTGTGCATTTGGGAAGGTTTCACTGTGCTTATAAAGGCAGGAGTTCAGAGACTTCCAGACCACACGAATGGGCCGGTGAAGTGAAAAAGGGAACCCCTGTAAAAACAGGGGCAAACGAGGTGACCCTGTAAGATTTATTAAAAATATACATTTTTGCAGCATTTTAGTAGTGAAAGAGTCCAATTATTAGGGTGAAAAGAGTTTGGTTTTATTTCGTAATTTCTTGCGATTGGGGAAGCCGATTGAATTTTGAGGGAGGCTTGGAACCTTTTATGTCCCTGTACATAGGATCATGGTTTGATTAACTAAGAGAGACTTTTCATTTGAAGAAATCTTGACATTTAAAGATGTAGAATCTGACCTGTCAATAGACTTATTTTTCCGATAGATAGACAGACTCTGAAGATTCAAAGTTGACTTACCGGAAGCAATGTTAGGTCCATGGTGAGTAAAAACGACACGAAAGCTTTTGCTTCTTTAATTGTCATGATATCCTTGCACTGAGTGATGTTGATGAATTTACCCACGAGAGGCTCGCACGCTTTGCTTGTTATCTGCAGCCTTGCTATCACTCGCTCAAGAGAGTGCAGTATTTTGACAAATTTTTTCTGATGAATGGAAAAATACACAAATGCTTTAAATTCAGCGCATGATAACCAACCTACCTTCAGATAGTTCTGTGAAAAGATGCTTCGGATGGAGATAATTGCATAGATTTTTTTGTATGGAGAAATTATGAGAGGATGTTTGAAGTGTTGTTTTTTTTTCCGCTTAATTATATTGAAAATAAAATTGACAGGAAGAAGAAAAATGTATGTTATACGCAAGGGTGAAAGAGGGGGTGGATGTTTTTTTCTTACAGCCTGGATTGAATTTTGAACCAATTTTTACTGGATGGAAAACATCATTTGTACAGGAGTTTTAACAGTATGAAATAAATAATGTAAAGTCAAAAATGCATCGCTGATTTGGGGCTCACATTCAATGAATATATAAATTATATTAGGATTCATAATTGTCAGAGTTGCAAGACTCAATTTTATGGATTTTCATAAATATGAAATCAAAAAGGCAGGAGAAGTTAAAAGAAGAAAAGAAAGAGTAAAATAATTTCTGATAGCATGACACACGGAGCATCAAAAGACTTAGTATTGGGTACCACCACAAATTCATTACGGAGCTCCAAATGTGTATTGGAAGCTAAGAATTACAGAGAAATAATAGATAAATAGAGGATGAATAGGATGAAAAAGTGATAACTTACACGGCATTGTGATTTTGCTGGCAACTTCAGAATGAGGTCTATCACACAATTCATTGTTAAGAAAAATACTTGATCGGAAAACTCGCAATTTTTAACCAACAACAGAGAGCAGACTTCTGCAATGCTTTGTTTAAGCTGAAAAAACACAAAAAAACGTTAATTTAAATAGGTGTCTATCAAGCTGCTTGTCGACCTGAAAAATGTGCAAGAAATTGATAATTATCTGGCATATATCCCTCCTAGAAAAAAATTTGGAGGTGAACTCTTCAGATCCTCAACTTTCAAATTTGACAGCACTCTTAATTGGGAATGCAGAAAGTCCTTAGCCTCCTTATTTTAAAAAAACCTTTTTTCTCAGTAAGTGCACCATAATACTTTTTATTACAGTTTACTTGCAAATGAAAAAAAAAAAAAAAACACTAAGAAGTGGCCTGAACTGTACATAACAAGATAGAGAAATGATGCTGGTGGACCCAGCAGCATTTCGCAGGAAAAACAAAGCCAAGCAGTTCCAAAAATTTACCTGGAAATTGTCCTGATTTTCACTGCAGACACCACAAACAAAATGCACGCAATTTTTATCTCAATTTGATGGAAAATATGCTACTATTATACTAACACAAGCTGGCTTCCCATTTGGAAAGTCCATCTTGAGGTCCTCTCACTTACGCAAGTGATCAATTGAGCTGAGATTTTCTAGGAATGTAATAGAATGAACCATGTAGAGAAATTATACATTCCAGCAGTTCATTGTAAAAATACCATTCATCAGTATGTATACTCTTACACAAATTTCGTCAATTGTCCTAACTTCCATAACACCTTTCAAGAATTCGTACTTTTTAAATGAAGATAAGAATTATACTGTTTCTGTGTGGTGAAATCACCGACAAAAGTCCCGCCCAAAATAACTAAAAAAAAGAAATCTTAAGACTGTGATTACTTACATCTGAATCCAAATCCAACTTCAGAAGAAGGCCGAGCAAAGTCGCTACATGAGAGATAGACTCTTTGATTGGCTCATCAGCTGGTAGATTCTCAATGATGCACACAGCTAACTGAGAAACTGCTTTCAACCACTTCAGAGCAACTTCATTTTTCAGGTTCTCCAAGATGAGTTCGGCAGCAGCTTTGACGGTTTCTGAGAGATTCTCAAAAATAGTGTCGATTTCTTCCCCACTTAGAACTTCCAGAGCATCCTATAACAGTGAGAAAGTATGATTGTACATTAAAAGGGGAAAAAAATAAAATTAAAATGGAAAATATTTAGTCAAATGCAAAAACTGACTATGTATTTTCGAAAACTTAATTTTCTTCAGGAATATTGAAAGTCTCAACAAGACTTCAGTAATGAGTGATTAAGAGCATCGTTACTTAATTTATGACTGCTTAGGTCGATAAACTATTTCTTTAGGTCGTCAAATTTTTTATTTAGAGGCTTTGAATATCATACAGATGGTGTCAGTTGATATACAATTTATTTCAAATTGTGACACTGCAGATAATTCTACAAATTTTAAAATTTTATTTCTTAGCGGGAAAACCAAAGTTCTCGATTCCGTAACATTTTTATTATTCATTTCTTTTTCTTTTAATGTGATTTTTTTCTTGAAAGAAAATCTCAAACATGGCACGAGACCAATACTTACATCCTTTTGCAAAATTACTTTCACACTCAGTGGGATATCTTCAAATTCCAAAAGTTCAGCTAGGAAATCATAATTTTTACATTTTTTGAGCTTCTTCTTGCGTTTTGGATTGGGACTTTTCTTACTGTTAGGCTTGCGCTTTCCTGACTTGGCTCCCTTCTGCGTTGCTTTACTGGACTCTTCAGGCAGCTGGCTGGGACCTGGTTGGATATCTTGCATGTTTTGAATATCTTCACCGCAGTCCTCTTCAGGATCTTCATTGTGCACTGGCTCCTCATTTGCTAAAATGACAGCTTCTTTAAGGGCTTTCGGACTGTCGCTCATCTGATTGGCTCCTTCTGTATTCTTTGCGTCAGATGGACTGCCAGAATTTTGCTTCAGAGCTTTGCGTTTACCTAATCTTGATCTGATTTTACCCTGCTTCGGTGTTGAGTTTGAGCCTGAGTCTACAATTGGAGCATTCTTATTTTTCAATATTTTACGTGGCTCTTTAGAAACTGCTGGTTCTTTATTTGCAATTCCCTGATTTTCCAAATCACTGGTATCCAACTTTGAATTACTTTCAACACTTCCAGTTTGCTCAAGCTCTTCATTTGCCTCAGCCGCAACTACTTTCGGTATTTCTGACTCATTAACACGATTCCGTTCTTCCGAACTGTTCGATTTAGATAAGCTTCTAGATTTTCGTTTTGGGGCTCTGCGTCTCCGCGATTCGGATTCAACTTCTTGTTCTTTAAAACTAGAGATGAGGTCTGAGTTTTCATTATCAGCAGCTCTTCCCCGTGATGTTGTACTCAAATTTTCAGAAATTTCTGGCTCTTCATTGATAATTTTCTGATTTTCTAAATTACTAGTGTCTTGATTTTGTACACCAGACTCATTGATAATGAGATCTGATTCTTCAAAACTGTTAGACTCAGATGAGCTTCTAGATTTCCGCTTCGGAGCTCTTCGTCTCCCCGATTTTGACTCGACTTCTTCCTCCTTAGGAGTGGAGTTGGAGTTTCCTTTGCGAGCAGACTTCCGTATATTACTCGATTTTTTGGAAACTGCTGGTTCTCCGCTTGTAATTTTCTGATTTCCTCCATTACTTGGATCTCCTACAGAGCTGTTCTCGAGGTTTCCATTCAGAATTCGCTTCTCACTGGATCCAGACATTGTTTCCTTGCGCGCAGCAGGGCTGCAAATACTTTGCATGGATTCATCAGTATTTTTCGACACATTGGGGCTGCTGGATTTCTGCTTGGAAGCCCTTCGTTGTCCCAAATTTGATCTACCTCCCTCCACCTTGGATGGTGAATGTAGGCTCTTGTCTCGACTTATTACAGAATCATTTCTTGATACATCCAAAGAATCATCAAGATTTTTTGACTTCTTGTCGACAATTTTCTTATTTTGCCCGTCTATTGTCTTAGGAAGACTACTTCTCAACTGTCTCCCTGGTGTAGCACTAGAAGTACTTTGACGCTTCCTGGCCATGGCACGAGGATAGGACTGTCAGCAGATTCTTTCAGAGCTAAACTGTCTTCAGAATGAAGAGGCTCCCTTCAGATAAAGAATTGACATACAAAAAACTTACAGTCTTATATTGCATGGTGGATGCAAAGGAATTGACAACAGAAAATCAGGACATCAGAGAAGCAGAGAGAGCCACAGCTGTCTATAACAATTTTTCATTTTAAATATACCTTCCTGTGTTTGTCAAGTTAAAATGACCTTAAAATATATAAAAAAGCGGGTGCAGAAGTTAGTCGACTTTCATCATCAACGAATTAATGCTGATTTATGCATTTTGTGAATAGAGAGATCAGGAAGCAACGCGCACTCATATGACACACTTCAGAACATCTTCAACAAATGATAATCATGAAACAGTTGCTGGATTTTCGAATCATCGGAACATTCAGAAGGCAGTCACAAACCAAAATCAGTAAATAAATCAGTATAATGAATAAAAATTAGAATTTGTAACACAAAAATAACAATCATAACTTTCCTTTTAGTAATGGATGGAGATAAAACATAGATAAAAGGGCGCCAATTTAAAAAATAAACCGACCTCCACCGTTGCGATCCAACGGAAACACATCATTCAACTGACGCAACATTGTTTACTAAACAGCTTTGACGTTTTTTGTAGTCGGAAAGCCGGGATTTTATCTTCTTTTTTCTTTCACCACTTGACTTTGCCACTATAATTGATAATGTTTTGTGGAGAATAATTTTCAGTGCTCATGAAAGTATACAAGAACTTTTATTTGATTTCTAATGGATCGAGTGATTATACTAGAATGTGTCTTGGCGAGCTTGCTGAGGTTCTGGTTGAGCCATTCCGAATATAAACAAATAATTGCTGATAGAGTTGAAGTCTCAACTCCTGTAAATTCTTGGAAAAGAGGTAAATTCTCCCATGTCTATTTTGTTCCACTCCTTATTTGAAAATTCATTGAATAAATGTCACGTAACAATGACATGACAGAGAGTGGCAGGGCCACAGACCCGCCCGCTACACTGACATTTAAGATTTAATACTCAAAGTCCGTCACTAGAAACTCACAAATAGCACTGCCGCATGAACATCCAAAAGGCTCAGCAGTGAGAACCACCTACTTTGCCCACTGTAAGAATTGATTTCTCAGAGACTGAATACATCTTGATTAGTAAAGGTCCCACCTTGTAGCTCTGTCTTTTAGAAGCTCCTACCTGAAACTCACTTGTTGTCCTTTGTTGAAAATGAACATCAGGGAGCCATTTCTTATGAAAGATGACATCTTTTTGCATCGTAAAACTGTCCGCTCCCTTCCAGATCAAATAAGGTTTGCCGAAGTACACATATCTCTGAGAAAATAGCTTCTTGTTCCTTATCTACCTGCCCCGCAGGTGCGAGAACTTAGTCACAGTGGAAAATAATGCTGCAGCAACATTTTTGCAATTTATTCAAGGCTGTTGTTGAGTGGGTCAGTAGGTTTTTTCATTTGAAAAAAGTTGGGGAACGTAAGAGCTGAGCTACTCTCATCTAAAAACTAAGTAAATGTCTGTGTTTTTTTTTTCTTTTCAGTTTTGGAGGGATCTGTGCTGTATGATGAGGGTATTGATCCGTACAAAGGAGACATTTTTCATGAAACACCGTTCATCTTGGTTGTCTCCAATTGGCTTATGCATAACTTTTCACCGACATTGATTTGTTTGATTTTCATAGCCTGTGATATTTTAACTGCTGTCTTACTTTATAAGACAGCGGCTTTGTTCATGAATGAACTAGTGAGTATTTTGCTTTATTTTGATACTTAAAATATTCATCTGCCTCTTTATTTAGAGATTAATACAGAAAAATTTTACATAACATTATTCTGAGTGTCATAATCCATGCCAAATTCTTGAAACAAATAAATAAATAATAAAATAAAATAGATTGGAGAGGGACAAAAGATCAGCTGCTTCAGTTTAGCATTGAAAGTAATTACAGAAATTAAGATGACAGATCCCCTGTCTTACTTAAAAAATGCACAAACTCATTTGACACGGACTCTAATAGCCTCTCCAGGGGTCGATGATTTTCCCTACTTCCTACAATCTTAGACTAGTGAAAAACGTGCTTCCACAAAAAGGGATGACTTTTTTCTTTTCTATTTTAAATTGTCCGGATTTTCGGTGGACTGGTGGAATAACATTTTAAAATGGTAGAAAGGAGGGCTTAATCAATGCCTATTTTACCATTTCTAGGTATGCCTGATGTTGTCAGAAAGAGAAAAAATCCAAGGGCTTTCCACAATTTTCGCATAAGCTTGGCTCTCCTGATCAGGAATATTATCGCCCCCTGGGCCTCTCTTTGGTTTTAAAGAGGAGCAGCTCATAATATTATTTGAAATTGACTAATTTTTTTAGGATTTATGAAACTTTTTATAGCTGCCCACTGCCCAGTCTTCCGTCGAACAAACACTAGAAAAAATAAAACCAGTATAAGTAGCGTTTATCAATTTCAACAAAATAATTAGAAGCTGTAGGGCTGTCCAATCCAAAACCAGTCCCTCCCTAAGGAACTCTTGAGCATAGGTACTTTCTTTTCTTACCTACATCTTCAAGAAAATTATTCTTACCTCTCCCATTTTTACAGTTACCTATATGCAAATGGCTGCAATTCAATTTTCTAAATGTTAGTGGTTTCTTTGAATAACCATAGTGTTTTTCCTTTCCAGTTTTTAAAGCAAGAAAAAGAGAAGGGTGGATATGCGCCTGGCACAGAAGATCTCCATGTAACCAAAGATGACATCAAAACACCACCTATTTATGTTTTGTCTGCATTTCTATTCAATCCTTACATTATTTGCCCATGTGTGGCTCAAAGCACAACTGTATTTGCAAACTTCTTACTTGCGGCAACATTGTATTTTATGGCTGCACGTAAGTATCATTTCTTCATAGAGTATATCATTTTATTTTTTTTTTTTTTTGGTTTCCAGCATTCATAGATTGATTTAGTGGCTACTTTATTCATGTGATATTTGACACATCAATTTGTGATTTATTTCATGATTGATTTGGAATGGTTCAAACCCAAACAATAGAACATGAAAAATATCTACAACATGGCATTCTGAAATGTGCATTTTTTCACTTTAGCTGTCGATATGCATATATCAGTACCTCAGAGCCAAAAGGCACCTAACTCCATTTTAGTCTTTTCAAGATATTAGGGGAAAACTGCATTCCGGCCCCATTGATTCTAATGTAAACAGCAATTTTTGAAACTCTATATCTCATCACCGGCGTAAGATAGGGCTGCTGCCTCATACAGCATACACGGAACCGTTAATGGAGATTTTAAAAACGCCACTAACTTGATTTTTCCAAAAATGTGATATAGGTTCCTTTTGGCTCTAGGATACATACTGATATGAATATTGACTGTCCATGATTGATTGTATAAAACAAGTTTGATTACAGTTTTACAAGTTGAAACACACATGAAGAGAAAAGATGCTCTAGTGACAGATGTGCTAAAGATTGCTTTTTAAAAATTCTAAGCTCTTTTTCCTTGAGAATTCTCAATGATGCCTGATTGTGCCATCATAGTTTATTGAATAATAAATTAAGATGAAAAGGAATACAATTCTGTGGAACGCCTAACATACACAGCTGGAAGTTCTTGTAATTCTTTCTTTTAATTGTAATTCATCAATATGTGTAACTGTAATAATGAATGTGATCTGTTTCAGGACAACGAATTCTATGCTGTCTTTGTCTGAGTGCGGCCACTGTTCAGTCCATCTATCCAATTAGTCTAATAGCTCCAATATACTTATATTTTTACAAACCTGGGCAAGCTGTCAAAACGTTCCTTATTTTAGTCTCCTACGTTTTATTATTCATAGCAATCTTTCTCTTTGCTTTCGCTCAGCTTGATGGTGGCAGTTGGAACTACTTAAATAGCGTCTATGGTTTCGTGTAAGTAATCTCATGACATTTTTTTAAGACTAAATTGGTTCTTCAATGTTTTCAATTGAAATTTCGATATTTCGAATATCAATTTATGCGATTTATCTCGCAACAACATTACTATGTAACTGTATTTCCTGTGAGCTCAGGGTCCAGAACAGGTATGTTATTTTTGCTGTTCTGCCATACCGGCATTAAAAGTTGATCTTGTTGTATGGGTTAATTTTGATTAATATTGTATTTCTCCAGCTTTTACGAAATTCTGCTCTTTCCTCCCAATAATACTTGGCTGAAATGATGCCCCTTAGTCTGAGAAACATAATTTGAAAAAAATAAAAATAAAAATGTTTAAATTTGCCAACAGGAAAAATATGTTCTCCTCCATTTAGATTTCATCATTTAGCTGTGTAAACATTTATTACAGAACATTCATTCTATAATTTATGTCATCAAAATTGAAAGTTTTAGAGACTACTATAAATGCCAACAAAATAAACTGAACTGCAGCCCACAGTTTTTTGGCAGTAAAATCAATCTCATATTTTTATTGACATGAGACATTTTTCAGGTAATACCTTTTCAATTTTGTGGAGTCTGTCACTCAATAATGACCCGTTGCTAAAACATGTGCATTCCTGGTGAATGCACCTGTGCATCTTCTATGTGAAGCTACAAAGTGAAAATAAAACAAAGGAAACCCCATTAAAACTGTAAAATCAAGACTATAGAATGTTGACAGATAATAATTTAAAAGAATAAGGTTGGCAATTTACGTCAATGAAGTAAGTTTTTATTCATTATTTCATTGAAGTAAATTGAGTCTTTTTATACAACCTTTTTTTTAAGTAAACCCCTATTTTTTTATTTTTACAACTTCTGTTTGAAGATTTAATAATGTTGAGTGTTTCTCTTTTTTCCCCAGATTAACTGTACCTGATCTAAGGCCAAACGTTGGATTATTTTGGTATTTCTTTACTGAAATGTTTGAGCATTTTAGGCCTCTGTTTGTATGTGCGTTTCAAATTAACGCCCTCTTCTTGTACGTTGTACCACTCAGTTTTAGACTTTATGAGGAGCCCATGCTCCTTGCTACGAGTCTTACAGCATTGTCTGCAATTTTCAAGTCATACCCTAGTGTAGGCGATGTTGGATTTTATCTCTCCTTGTTGCCAATGTGGAAACACTTGTTTCATTGTAAGTCTCACGTTCTCAATCAATCAACTGTAAATGAGGAGGCATTGAAATTATTGCACTTTGTGTCTACTCAGTTTCCTTGTTTCATTTTGTGATTTTGAAGGTGTTCTGAGCACAATTAGAACTTTTGTCAGCTGAAGAAAAAAAATTAATACATATTGCTTAAACTTTATATCTAAGAATATTGGGGCTAAAAAATAGACATTTTAGCTAAGTTTGTGCATGTTTCCAAATGAACATGAGCAGCTAATGCTAGAAAAAACTCAAATCATTGTATATCTTTGACCAGGTCTGCTGTATAGGCTCTGGAACAAAGAGGAGGAAGAAGTTGAATCAATTTTTGGTACTCAGGGGGGGGGGCTATAATTTAGCATATAAGTAATACAAACATACATTCTCAAGCATGTGATAGAAAGTCCTCTGAAATTCTCACAAAGTTATATTGAGCACACTGTTATTTGAGAACACTGTTAGTTTCTCCACCTTGTTACATACAGTTTGGGCCACTTCTTAGTGTTTTTTCTTTTAGATTGATCTATCATTTTCATTTCGATGTAGACCATAAGTATTACTCTGCCAGAAATTACGGTTTTAAAAAAAAAAAAATTTCCGAAAGTCAAAATCAATCATTATTGGATTAGATTTTGAATTTCAAACACGCCCATTGTTAGGTCGTAAAATAAAATAAAAATAAAAAAGTCTCTTGCCCACTATACTAACTGCACATGCGCAACTCAAATCTGTTTTTTCCTTGTTGCCGTATTTATTTACAAGTGTTGTGGTTTCTTTCAGATATGCAACAAGGTTTCTTCGTCCTTTGTTTCTTAATCGGAACTTCAGTATTCGGGCCCACTGTGTGGCATCTATGGATTTATGCCAGATCAGCCAATGCAAATTTTTATTTTGGGGTCACTTTGGCGTTTGCTACTTCACAGGTATGTAGCTGTCTTTGGAAGCTTTCTTCAAATAGTGCAATATTTCTTCATGAAACTGGGGAAATTAACTGAGACTTTGAAACTCTATTTGTAATATCCATAACCTCAAGTCCTCTCAAAGGCTGTCGATTTAATAAAAAAATGACTGTGCTTTAGATAGTCTTAAAATCTGTACAGAGATTCAAGAGAAATCCCTTTATTGAGACCAGGTGCTGTCGCCACTTGTTTACTTTTCAAGCAAAGTTTCCAAAATTTGTAGTGTCTTACTTTTCTCTTGGCATTTGCTAAATATTAATTAATACATTTTTTCAAAAATGAAAAAGTTTCAGATTCCAGTGTCAGTTTTTTTTTTTTTTTTTTTTTTTTTTTTTTTTTTACTTATGAAAGATAAATCAAACCTTACTGGCTCATTATTCATGTATTTCATTTCTTATTTCAGATATTCCTCATCACCGACATCCTCTTTGCTTACATCAAAAGACAGTTTGCTTTGGCCCATGGATTAGAGCGAATTTTAGATGGTAAAGAAGCCAAGTTGATTCTGGATTAAATTTAAGTGATTTTACGAACAAAATTCTTCTGTTGCATTTTTCTTTTTTATGAGTGTAAATTGTTTTTTCGTCCATTACCATTAATTCTGCTTAATTTTTCTTTGTTTTGTACTCACGACTTTTGTGATTAAAGAAAATTAAAAGAATATCTTTTTTTTTCTTCCTCTTGTATAAATTCACTTCGAAGGGTATTCAAAAGTACCCACATGAGTTTTGTTTAACTTTCATTTAATTAACTTTCTTTCAAAACTGCTTTGAAGCCCTGGAAAAATCATTAGATCTAATTAGTACTATCGCTTGAAACACTGGAACCCGCAATTCCCAGGATATCTTCAAAATTCCTTTATTTACCTACTTGGCAAATTTTACAATTCATACTGCAAATGAAAATGCAGGTTCTTTTCCAGGGGATGGAAAAACAAGAGTATCAATGTATAAAATAGACATTTATTTTGTGTAAAAGATGAAACAAAGTCCAGCGTCAAGAGTAAACATTTTAACAAATCAACACATAACAATGTTCAAACAAGAGGGTTGAACAATCTTAAAAATAAATTATCACAATAAATAGGCTGAGATTGCTTTCCACATCTCCCATTAAATCTTCTTCAAAGAGAACATTCACATGTAAAATCAGTGAAGATAACAACTCAAGTACATTATAAAGTTGCTTGAATTCGTGGAGTATCAAATTAATTATTTGACTACATTTCGCAATTAGTAACTAAAATTTCTGGCTCAGTTAAGAAGCAACGTACGTATCATAAGTTTCCCAAGGCACATAAGTGTTTTCACAGATGAGCCAGAAATTGTAGTTCCTAATTGCAAAATCTGGTCTATTGAGGATGGTGCCAGAGAAAGGCCATGTGTAAAAGGTATAGCATTTCGAGGAAAACTCATTTGAAAGTTTGAGATGGTGTCCCAACTGGTCCCAACAGACAATAAGGATAATAGTTAAACCAAAGGCTACCTATTCTTTCAACATAGGTCCTAAAATTTTAAAATCCATTAATATCTTGTAAAAAACCCCAAAAAATTATGGAAAGGTGTGTATGGATTGTGTTTTAACTTTTAGTTCATACCTTACCTAGGAGCCCATTGTCCTCGTGCAGTCTAGATGCAAACAATGAATTTAATGAGTAAACATTAAATATTTTCATTTTCCTTTTGCTCTTGTTTCTTTTTTCCGCTTTTTCATCAAGTTTCCTCACATGAAAACTGATTCATACATCTAAAGATTACATTTAATGAAATTCGTTGAAGATAGATTCCACAGCTTGTTTACTTCAGGATTGTTGGAAGTCAGCCGAGAAAGGATTTTTTTATCTGGAATAAAGGTCAATTGATCAGTATTTGTTAAATTGTTCTGAATTAAAAACAAACAGGTAAACCTTAGCGAATTTATTCATTATAATGCTTGACCGTAAAAGCATCAGCTCTTGACAGACTTTTTAGTCTTTTAAAAATCGGTCACTTTTTAAAGCACCCTCATTGGTGATGAGATTGTCTAAAAAAATTAAAATGGTAAACTTTTCAAACAGCTTTAAGAGAAGAAAAGTCACTTTGAGCTGACAGGAGGTAATAGACCGTTTAAAGGTACTACTCTCAATAACTCCTTGTTACATCCGCTCACAGAAAAAATTCACACAGTGAAACTCTAAAAATTAGCTACATAAGTCTCATGACTCTTGGGTTCCTTTCATTTTATAAATAAAAGCTATTTATTAGCATTTGACAATACTAATAAACACCAAAAGTAAAAAAACAAAAACAAGCAAAAAACCCAAAACTTCTATTATCTCAGCTCTGACAAAAACTTGTACCATCTTCAGGCTGGCAAACTTCACGTTTAGAGCCTCATAACACTTGTGAAGCAAATAACATTAATGGGAAATTACGCACAATGGGAAATTACTTCATTAAACTGAAGATGCGATTTTTTCAGAGCCACAGACTAGTCCGATTTGATTCTTCTAATTTCGAATTTTAAATACTTAATATCAATTATATATTACCTTTCTTTTCTAAAAAAGTCTTCAAATATTCTCCAAAGATGTCCGCAGAGGCAGCTATGCTCAGTCGAGGAAAATTTCTTGCGGATGTTTCAGAGGAGCACACAAAACTAGTCATGATGCCCAAAAGAGAGCCATCTGAGCGCACTAGTGGGGCACCACTGCCACCTGAATGTAGACAACATGATGTCAACATCGGACCACCTGACTTCGTCAAATGTGATACGATACCATGGGAGACGGAGGGCTTCTCTGATTTGAGCAACGGGAAACCGACGATGTAGACAGGTTCGCCTGCAAGTACAAAAAAACCAAGAGGAATGCTGAAGGTCATGCTTTGAGTAGACGATAGTAAAAAATGAATTGAAAGTAAAAAAATTAATGGGGTAGAGTGATATCATGCTCATATTTTCTGATCAGGTCCGTCTATATTCCAAAAAGTTAATCCCAAGTTGGTCCTTTCTCCTCATTTGTTCAGTTCAGCTACCTTTAAGTACTAAAAGTTTAAAATTTTAATATTGAGGATATTAAAAAATTCTCACTCAACAAGATGGGGACCCCTAAGGTTAAACTGTCATTGACCGTTGAACTGGGGTTGCTGATCTCAAAACTGCACATAGATCGGTAGTTGATGCAGATTCTTGAAAAATTCAAAATTTGTCCTTCTTTCTTTATCCTCCAGTTTGCATGGGCTACGTTTTAATCAAACACAACTTACATAGTTTTGGCGCTGCAGAGGAAATGCAAATTTTTTTAACAGACGTATCAGGGATAAAACTTAAAATTGCCAAGTCATAAATTTGTCCCACAGGAGTGCTATACACAACTTCTGCTCTGGATGTACAAGTCCCAATAGTAACCGAGATTTCTTTCACCTAAAAACAGCAAAATGACAAAATTTAGGGTCTATAAACAGTAATGAATGTATTTGTCTTTCAAAATTTCTCGCACGGAGGTTGGAGAAAAAAATCCATAAGAATCATAAATTATCATTTTTGAGAGAAGAGAAGCAAATTTTTGGGAGCGTATGTTTCATTAATGATGACATTAGGGAGAAAGGAAATTAATTGACAAATTAGGAGAGAATGTGTTTGTCTTCTAAATAAAAAGATAGAGGGGTAATATATTCAAAATGGTCATGATCCGACCAAGAATTCTTTAGGGGATAAGGATCTACTACTAGTAGTCTCTTCCACTGGTGCTTCCAAAATACTTAAATGCAAATAAAAATCTCTTTCGGAGAGGGGGCATAAAGTGGTTATATTTCCTATTAACTGATTTTATTTTAAATAATATGATCAATAATTTGTGCGTATTTGAGCTGCGGAACATTCATAATCATGATCAAGTCACTTTTTATTTTAGTCAATTATTTTAACATAGGATAAACAAATAAATAGGGGCCGAATTTTGTTGGCACTTTTGAAGAAAGAGGAAACATCCGTCAGTGAGCTAAAGCAGCACATCCCACCAATTAGAAACTCCAGACCCGACTAAATACGTGCAATCACACCTCATTTTAAGTGTATTCAACTATGCACGTTTTTCACAGCAAAATTCGACTCCAGACTGAAAAAAATCTAGACTCACCTGACTGACTGCATGACTGCATGTGAGAATGTAAGGGGGACTTAAACTGATAACAACACCGGAGCCCCAGCTTCTTGGAGTTGTGATAAGGGCTACGCAGGCATCTAAACATCCATCTGAAAAATACGAATTGACATAATTTTGAATTTTGCAAAGATATACAATAATTGAGGAGTTGATAGGATGACTTGACTTAACTGAGCAATCGAATTTGGTTCAATTTATTTATTCTATTCATTAACTTATTCAATTTAATATTGAAAAATTCTGAACACCAATAATTTCTGAAAGAAGTTTTCATTGATTTTACTGATTTTGAGATACAAAGAAATTTTAACATGACAGTACTGTTCTTTTCATGACCAAAAAAAATTTCTATTATAGATGAGTAATGAGCATCTTTCAAGTGGACTGCAGTAAAATTTGTCAGCATAGAGCACTATACAAAATCTGTTTTCAATAGGATTTACTTAGTACATACTCATAATTCATCGGATAAGTTGGTAGTTGTTCTTTTTTGACTGTCATGTGTAGTAGACTAATTTACGCATCTGCAAACCGTTGCAGACATGCCTCGTAAGCTTCAGAACAGGCTTTTTTAGCAACGAACAAAACCGAAAAAATTAGACAAATATATTTGCTAAGTAACAGTGGTTTCGGACCCATGTGATTGACAGCTCTCTCTGAGTTTAACTGGAGGAAACATGTAATTTAAATGCTTGACATAGAGTACACACAAAAAATGACTGACATAAACAGGCTGCACTGGCCAATATTCAGTTCTATGCTGGTAAAGAGCATTATTCTCTAAAAGATGTTTAGCTCCTGAGAGTTGAAAAATTTTCCGACATGAAAACAGTGATAAATAAGAATACTTAAAAATAAATTTTAAATGAAAAAATTATGATTTCTTACCAATTAGGTCTTTAATTTGATTTCTATGAGCAACAATATTTACATCATCTTGACTGATGCATTTCCAAATGTAAGTGCGTCTATGTTTCCGTAGGAAGTCTTGAATTAAAGATTTGAAATTCACTGCTAAACAAAATCCTACTCGTTCTTGTTCGAACTGGCATGAGTTTGTAATTAGCATGCCGATTAAATTTTTTCTTCCATCAACACTGTCTTTTCTGTAAAAGCCAGACAAAAAGTTAATTCAATGAAAATATAAGTGAACAGTATCATTTACAATCTTCCAAAGATGCAGCTTAGAAAAAATTTTGGAGTTTTAAAAAGATTGGAGGAATGGACTAAATTGGTTTTTGACAGTTATCAGCAAATCAGATATGCCTTAGAACCAGCAGAAGTACTGGCAAATCAAGTGTCCTATTTGAATTCTTCAGAGTCAAAACCAAAATAAGTTTTTACTTATGCTTCTTTTTACCAATTTTCAATTAACCCTCAAGTCTAATCCCACACATAAAATCTCACAAATATAGAACTTTGAATTCTTGACGATACAATGGGGCAGTGGCAAGGAATTTTTGCCGATTTTTCGGCGTGACATTTCAAGAAAAAATCAAAAAGTTCATTCAGAAGCTCAAAACGCACTTCTAAAGAGGAAAAAGCTAATAAAAATAATTGGACCAATCAAAAGCCGGCGGTCCAGTTGACATGGCAAAGCGATGCCTGAATAAGAGTTCAGCCAATCAGCAAATCAGCCACTTCTCTATCTGACAAGATCATTAGAGCCAAAGATATCTTTTTTTCATACTGGTCCCATTTTGGTCATTTTCAAAATGGGATTTCTTTCCCATGTAGGTTTAATGAAATCGAGGGAAAATTCCTAGTAGCTCAGCTTACTCCACACTTACTTTTGAAAAAAGAATTTTAAAAAAATAGGTGCCACTGACCCCTTTAAAGGTGGACCATCCAGCAACTCTACCTACGATAAGAGAATGGCTCCTTCAGATTCTGGGGGCAGATCCAAGTCAATGAGCAACAAGCAGTGTTCTGAGCCAAGGACGTTGCTGACAATACCCTTGCCCCAAGAATTGAGAAACTGGTGAAGGAAGAAAGGGGTGGAGATGGAAAAGACGTCCAGACCACGATCAAGGTGCAGCTCACAGAATTGTCCTACAGCTGACATGAGGTCCACCAGTACACCGTCCACTCCAACCGAAAGTATCGGTTTGACTGAATCTTGAAGTTGTAGCACCAGGAATGTTGAGAGAAGCTCCAATCTGTAGATAAGAAAGGAAATTGAAAACAGGGAAGGACATATACTCAATGAGGGTGACTGAGGAGTATTACCTACAGTATTTACAGGTCTATTGAACATGAATTTCGTTCTTAATCTTTACGTCACTAAAAAATCTCATACTATTGTTACTATTAATTATAGAGAGACGCAAGAGAAATTCCAAAGGTACAGAGATAAAAGATGAATCCTGACTCTTTCCTATTTTAATAATACTTTTGGGCTGAGTAACAAATGTATTTAAAAATTTCTTTGAAAAAAAACTTAGTTGGACTGTAAGATGTGAAAACAAATATACTTTATGGATCAAAAATGTCTTTCATAAAAACTTTTGACAAACAGACATGGTATCCTTTCTGCATTAGTAATTCTAGTCAAGAATAAAAATATCTGTCCGAATGCAGCTTTGTGTCTATGAATGACCAAGATTGCGTCTTTCGAGAGAAAAACACAATTAATGATGTTATCTAATAAGTAAGTGCACATCCTGGTTGCTTTTACATTTAATTTATCCATCGGTGATGCAACAATGTAAGAGATTTCTTTGCATGCTCCACATACCTACCTACACAACTAGATCAAGAAGGCGGAATCTGCTATGCTTTTCAAAAAGCAATATCTATATTAAGTTCAAACATAGAGAATTGGTCTCAATATTTTTCTTTGATCTAAAAATTTTGACAGTCAAAACATAATTTAATGATACACAGAATGGATCCATCAGAAGATCAAAAAAGAATGCTTACAAAGGTATATAAGAAAAAAAATTCAAAATGTTTTGTGCTCACCTGTCTTGAATATGTGCTTTATGTTTATCCCCACTACCTTTCGATAGAAACCTCCACCGACCAAGTTCCGTGTGAAAAGTCTGCCGAAGGGCACCAAAGCTCCAGACCAGCAAAATTTGACATGGCATCGTCTCTGCCTCTTCAAGCGTTGCAGAGAAAGATGGAAGTTTCAGTCGGAGCGCATCAATAGTTGATCGATCAATGTATGTGTCCCCACCTTTGTAACCCTGTTTCAGTTGCTGAATGTGTTCGACAAGACGAGGTAACATAAACGGCTCAAGCAAAATCCCTGGTGCAATAATGAAGTCTCCAAAAACGAGTCCACAAACTTTGGATTGTATGGACTTAGGGCTGCGAAATCTGGCCGTAACGACAACCCCATCTGGTTTGGGAGTAGCCAGATTAAGACTCGGCATTCTCATCTGGAAAACAAGCCGTAGGGAAATGAGTAAAATAACGAACGAGACACATGGTCAGGATTAATCTGAATTTTCAACTTGACGAGGAAGCAAATTCACCATGAATTGGCCAAAATTAAAAGATTTAAGGTCATACCTGGAGTGCATGAATGTCTCGATAAGGGTGTACATTGTGAGGTCACTTTACCATGACCAGCTGAAAAGGGAGGTGGCGGAGAATTCTTTGTAAGATGCCAGAACCCTCTCTGTCAGTGTTGTTAAAATAGGTTTCATTATGCTCACTGAATTCCACCGACTAAGTCCACGTCAAATAAGTTTACGCACTTATTAACTATGATAGAAGATCTGTCATCTTGAGTCTTCCATAGACTTAACATATAAAAGTGACGCCAGACAATCTTCTATGCAGTCCAGAAGTGCGTTAACTTATCTGGCATGAATTTTAGTGACCATTAACTATAACGGAAAATAGAGACGGTGCTTGGAGGCACTCTCCTTCTTTAACTCCTGACTTCAGTCAATAGTTTAAGGAATCTGACAATATAGGATGTGGTTTCACCAGTGATGTGAGGAGCTTGTTATCATAAGCCTTGATGCATGGTGACCTTATCAAGAGACAAGTCTCTGACACAGGACGAAATACGCTGTATGTTACTAAGATAACCATAAGTACAAAACTTAATTTATCGAGGGATCAATTAAAATTTCTCAAGACATGACACCAGATCCTTAGGAAGAGAATTTTAGGAGCGACTTACTTTCTAAAATCGTCGATCAGCGATGAATGTCCTTCCGTTCCAAAACACATTTACCAATACATCAAGGGTTGGGAGCTCTTGAACCTACCATTTGCATTGCATTAATTAACTTTGAGTAAATAATAAGAAACCAAATACATACTCTGAAAATTGTTGTTGGTAAAACCATTTAAATGAATAAAAACTAAAATGCTATAAAATAGGGTACACACTGACATATAACTTGATAAAAATGTAAACAAACGAGGCACCTGTGTGATAAGATGTTATCGTGTCTGATCACCAGTTACCGCCACAAGGCATCAGTGCAGCGCGCATTTTGAATTTTCACACATATTAGCGCCTACAAGACTGAATGAATACTTCACGCATTGCATCAAGACTGCATGAATACTTCAAGCATTGCATTAAACACAGTGCAGTCACTGCGGTCAGCGTGAAACGCATAGCGCCTACAAGACTGTAAGAATACTTCTCGCAGTGCGCCGATCACGGGGCGGTCTGCGCAGCGCGGCGGCGGAAGTTACAATTTTTAAACCACGTTTAAGTTTGTTCTTTAATAATTTTTTCGTTCATTTATTATGAATGGAGGGCCTTGTCCGCACAGATGTAGGTTTACGGACCTTGACTTTCGCCTAATGTTCCGTGAACATTTTGCTGGTAGTGTTGACGGGGCTTTCCCAAAAAGTGTGTCCAACACGAGTAAACGCGTCTTATGCACCCCTCCCCCTCCGGCACGTTCACTTTATGGTTTCTATACTGATGTTTCAAAACGAATGAGAATGGGACGGCAAAATACAGGCGGTTCATGGGCGGCAATAAGTAGGTAAATCCGGCCCTGCTACATAGCGGTAGGATGAAACATCCGGATACGTGGAAATGTTGCGAAAATATCCTTTCCTGTCCTTTTGCCTTGGGATTTATCAGAGTTTCAACACGGCTTAATTCGATTGGCGTTGATGCACAGAAAGATTACATACTTTTGTAGCCCGACGTTAAAGTCTCCAAAAAGGAGTATGGAGAGTAGGAGCTATTACGACGGTTGTAAGTCGGCAATCACATAACTCGGTTTGCGACGTCGCAGACTTCCTGTCATACTTCATTTTTTAAACGGAAAACTACTCAACGGCAATTCTTTAAAACTGCCGTGATTTTTCTTCTCTGTGCGAAGAAAAGTCTGCAAAAACTTCAAGGAATGATGTCAATTCGTTCTCCTTAAAAAAAAAATAACGTAGAGGCGGAGATTTTCATACACCGCAAACGAGTTATGTGATTGCCGACTTACACCATCGATATAGCTTTTATCTATAAATTGATATTTCTAGCTGAAAGTCTTAAGAAATTAATATTCCCCCTTTTTCTTGTCTAGCAGTTCTCACGGAAGAAAATTCGGAAGGGGGGGGGGTCGAAACAATGAATGTGCCGGAAGTGGGGCAATTGGAGCATAACTTAATGATTTAGATCATTAATGTGAAACGTCTCTTGAGGGAAAGAAATCGAGTTTTTATTGAAGTTAAAATTAAACCCTCCTCTTAGTTAGTTTTTATCAGATAATAGTATCTGGTCATATATTCATAAACTGTGCCACACGCGGCTGCTGCAATCCAAGTAAAATCCTCCTTTTTTTTCTCTATGAGTGTCAATACAGCCGAAGTTAGGCGAGACAAATTCGGGCATAGAGAAAAAAAAGGAGGTGGTCGCGCATTTTATTTCGGGCATCTTCGATTTTGTTGATGACGTAGGTAGGTACGGACGGTTTTTATCATCGATTTTTTTTTTTTTTTTAAATGGTGTCGTTTATGGAAAAAATTCACTCTTTAAAAAGTGTTAAAAATTAGGTATATTTTGAGTTTATCTACGCAATTATAACGGACTTTATGGTTCTTTTCATGAAGTATGAACCTCGAATTTCGGATTTTGCTGAAATATCGATGCCATATTGTACCTACCTACGTCGCGAGGTATAGAATCCTCAAGATGCCGACCACCTCATTTTTTTCTCTTTGCAGTTCGGGCTTCGTTGTTTAACTTTCCTTCGGAATCTAAACCACACCTCATTACCAGCATAAAGCGGAGCATTGCGAGTTCACGCCTCACGCTATTGCGCCTTCAATTTTTCAGATACAACAGGGACATTCATCAAGCACGAATAGTTGTATTTCCGCGCCGTCAACGCGCGTGCTTTCCCCCGCTCTATTTCCACGTTTTATTGGTTCTGTTTCTCTTTTTTTCGGTGGTGTTACAAGGACTACGTGAGCGCAACACAGTCGAAGAAGATACTATATCAGGCCTCATTTTTCAACTTACCTCCTGAATCTGAGAGAGCGACTCCTTGTTGGCAGCATTTTGAGCATAACATTGTGAGTTCACGCCTCAAGCCATCGCGCCTTCAATTTTGCAGACGCAACACGGACATCCATCAAGCACGAATAGTTGTATCTCTGCGCCGTCATCAATTGTGATTTCCCTTGCTCTGTTTCTATGTTATGTTGTGCGCTTCGCGCCTTAGGCGTTAACGCTATGCTTATTTATTGAGTATATTTTTATTGGTTTACTTAAAAAAGAGAAAACAATGGAAGTAATGTTTGATAATCCTATTTACTTCTCTGCCTTCGGCTCGCTGAGGAATCACGTCTTGAAATATTCTTTTTCGAGCATTAGTCACAGCAAGGGTATTCCTAGGCGCTGTTAAAACTGCGAACTCTAATGAGGGGCTTGGAGGACAAGGCGCATAAGTGTAGTTTTTGAAAAAATTGAGGTATTAATGATTCCAAGTAAAACTAGTCTTAATGCGTATTCTGTAAAGAATTTGCTCCCAAATTCCTATTTTTAAGCATTAAAAAGTCAGTTTGAACTTTTTTGCCGCCATAAGGATCCATGTGAATTCGAAACTTCAAACACGTATTTCTCGAAATAGCAAAAACTGGACTTATGCACCTTGTCCTCCAAGCCCCTCTAATGAGTTGCGAAGTCATTCAATTTTCACACCTTGCTGACGCACGTAATTTCGGCACTTATGGCCGGAGGCCATAGAATTCAGCACAACCATTATTTAGATTTCCTCTTGTCAATTAAACAGCCGCATTAGAGCGTGCCGATTGTACGGCAAATTTTGCTATTACAACTCCATACATCAGGGGAAGGAAAAGAAAACAGATTCAATCTGACAAACTTGGCCAGCAAAATTGCAACTTCATATTGCACTTTTCATTCGTCGGTCAGTCGGTCCGGAACTCGGTATGGTTTCTCGCGATTTTTAAAGTTCGAAATTTCTATTAGAATTTTGACGGGAAAAGTTGTTTCTAAGGAGTTAAATGAGGCAATGCGTTTTATGATGTCTACATTTTTAAGTAGTAGTTTAATGTGTCAGTATGATTGATGCTACACACCATGTTAAAATGTTGAGTATTCATCCCGTATTGGTAACAAAAATACGCGTTATATATTCCAAATGCATATTTTTTCAAAGTAAACTCCTGATCGCTAAGTACTAGATGCTTTTTCAATTCATTTTCAATCGTACGGCGAAGAGGGTAGGAGGTTATCGCATAGTTAAAAGTGGAAAAACAAGGAGGGAAAACGGGAAACAAGGCTTAAATACACAATAAATAAAAACCGAGACGTTTCGACTCACAACTGAGTCATTTTCAGTCGGAAATACAATAAAAATTTAAAAAAAAAAATTGTTTAAATTTATATTGTATTTCCGACTGAAAATGACTCACTTGTGAGTCGAAACGTCTCAGTTTTATTTATTAATTGTGTATTTTAGCCTTATTTCCCGTTTTTCCCCCTTGTTTTCCCACTGTTATCATAATCTCGGGCTGCTCTTAAAAATTTGTATTTGAAAGGTTTACCGTGCTCTCTTAAACTCACAAAGTAAATTGTGCTGTTTAAATGAGTTATTTTGTTAACAAAAATGTATAATAATCTGTACTTAAAGGCGTTATAAAGAAAATTATCTCAGTATTATAATTTATAAAATTTAAAACAATTGTCAACCAAGTTTTCTGACTGAGGAGTTCAAGACAGGATACTAGCTTGGTTTTTAAAAAATTTATTTCGTCCCGAGGTATGTAGTTTCATTCATCTCGACGATGATTTATTCCGTGATATCTATAGATTACTCGCTCCCTCCAATCCTCATCACTTAATGGAAGCAGTCAAAAGCCTCATCCTGAAAGAATCCAAGATTGATTAGGATGCGTGAATGCCGATTGTCTCTAATAACACGTTCCCTCCAGATGATATCAGAGGCTCCAGAAAAAGCCCCGGATAATTTCAGAGTTGATTTTCAATCGTGGCAAGTCTAGTCTCAACGCAAATAGGATTCGTTAAAATACGGAGGTGTTTCTTGATCCCGCGAATTTGACGTCGTAACACGATTGTATGTAAAATAACTACCGCCATACCATCGAAAGAGATTAGGTGTAGACTCATTAAGTCTGAGGAAAATTTACGACTGTAGATGAATATTGAGGAAAAAGTTTGAAGTAGGTTGTCGGGAGTCGAACCTCGAGACTCTAAGCCTCTGATCTCACCATCCTAAGTGATGGAGTCTTTGGAGAGGTGTTCAGTTATTCCCACGGTTTTGGTGATTTTCAAGGGTTCGCGATTAATCCTGATAAAATTCAAGTACGTTTGTGCGGAGTCTGAAATTTTAATTTGGAATCGACTTTAATCTGGAACTAACTCAACGGACGCAAGCATTTGAGGGAGGGCAGCATTTAGACGGAAGCACGCACTGTTCAAGATGGGGTGAGTACAGACTACACACATCATATTTTACTGGCAAATGTTTCCCTTCATACATCTTGTTGAAAGCAGATATTATGCAACGCTTTATATTTTTTTGAAAAGTAAAGCTTTTTGAACCCATTTTTCCTGTAGCTATAAATGATCAATGAAGTTTCCGTAATGATGAATTGAGGATCGATCGACCAGCTTAGGTATTCCCTATTAACACAGCTTGTCAAATTGGGCGCATTTAAATCAGTGGCGAGGCGTGAATAATCGATTATCGATATTTTCCACTTAAAGCTATGGTAAAGAATCGATTATCAATGTGTTCGTTACAAAAATCCTGTTCATAGATTCGTCTCCATTGATTGAAATAGCAGATCAATCGATGTAGGTATCGCAAAGCACGCCACGCCATTGATTTTAGTCAAAAGGACTATGTCCATTTTGTCATGAGCCCAGGGATCTATTAGAGAGAGCATGCATGACAGGGCTCACGTCATGATGGATATTGTTCCTTTTGATTTAATTGTGCCCAATTTAGTCTACACAAAATGTAAAACTGCTAATTTCTTCGAGTTTGCTTAAAGTTGCAAGCAGAAAAACTTGGAGAAAATCTCGGAGTTTAAAAATTTTACTTTAGGAATTTGGAGGTATAAAGAAGTAAAACATATTTTTCGAAAAAGTATTGTCTGCGAACTCTGTCAGCGAGTTCCCGCAGAAGCGACATTGATGGTAAAAAAATTGAAATTTGAAAATAAGGAAACTTATGGGAGTAGCTTAGTGACATCTGGAAAACCAAACACTCCCTTTCCTCAACTTCTTTACGTGTACTTAATTACGATCTCGTCGATATCACCACCAATAATGTGATGCGCATACCATCGAATGGTGAAAAAGCAAATCCAAGATTGGAGATTTCGAGGTAGCACAGACACGCGCAAATATGTTTACGCAATGGAGGTAAAAGGTACTCTCCTCTAATTAAAGGAGCTTCATCGGTAACAAAACGTAAGCATTTTCATTCGGTGATTTTGTGCTCGCGATTCACTAGAAACAATTTGATACTTCAATAACACGTAAGGCAAGTTGCATCGTCGAGAATTGAAGGGGTGCAATTCTCGAGCTTCAAATTGAAATCGACGATGCAGTAAAAAAGATTAGCGGAGTAGTAAGTTCTCCACTATCACGATTACGTCGATAATAGCCTTTAATTTCAAAGGTAACTCAAAGATTACTCGTTAAAGGTGATTAGACGGTTGCCATTTTTTGTGTCAGAGCTACGTGCGATATGTCGCATCAATTCCTTCCATAATTTCAACTACTTGTCATTTTTTTCGAATTTTGAGATCGCACTTCTGTTGTCATGAGACTGAAGAATTCATAAACCAAATTTGACAAAAAAAATTCAACGTATTAAAGGCAGGGGTTTTTCAGAGGAAAAATATCGCAATCGAGTGCAGTTTCGATATCAGTATCGAATGCGATATTTTCCCTCAAAAAAAGTCCTGCCTTTCATAGGTTTGAATTCCTTTGTCAAATTTGGTACATGAATTCTTTAGTCTGGTGTCAACAGAAGTGCGATCTCGAAATTTAAAAAAATGACAAGTAGTTGAAATTATGGAACGAATTGATGCAATATATCGCACGTCGTTCTGACACAAAAAATGGCAACCATCGAATTACATTAATCCTGTCAAATCTGCAGATATATTTCTGTAAAAAATTCCCAGGTATGACGCATCACAGACGCATTAACAGAGTCACAAATTGCAACGGTTGCAATGAATGGAGTTCATTAGCTTTCTTGGAGCACCTATAAATAATGCACATAACGATAGCAACATACCTTTATACCACAAAAGAGACCGTCTGGTTTGAGGGCTCTTGAGTTTTGCACATTCGTATACGTTACCTTTACTAACATTGTCCGTCGATGAAGACTTGCATAATTCTTCAAATTCTAACACAATTTACATTCAAATTCAAATTTGGCCTATTTACACCACCGCAACTTGGTCCATCCCCAGGATTTCGGTCCTGGCTCCTAGTAACACGGTCCGAAAGTTTGAACTTTTGACCCGTAACTCTGCTTTTGTCATGCGGGTCTCTCGGTGAAGTCGCGTCAGAACGTTTCAACGCTTTAATTCGAGAATCAAGCACTTGAATCCGTAGTAGCAGTGTTGCCAACTTTCACTCGAGCCCCACAGTTTTGATGGACATAAGTATAATAGTGAGATGTCGTTGTACTTGATGGAGCTCTCCTTCAGATTCCAACGGAAAAAGCGTAGTAGAAAACCAAAATGGAGAGCATAAAATCCGAAGAGAGGATAGCAAAGTCTAAGCACAGTGATGATTAAATAGTCCAATCATTGAGAAAGGCCAGTGAATAATACTTTATCATGATTCCTTAACAACATTTTGCGGAAAAATCCGTAAAATCATCAACTGATAATTAAAATTGGTGGACATTTAAAACGCTAATTTTCCGCTGTGAAAGAAATTAAACACATAAATTAAAAAATATGTTCTTCGAGTAAATCTCAAGGAATTGCCCTGTACGTAACCAGGGTGGCAAAATTTCATGAAAAATAAAGTCTTGAAATTTTACTTGAAATATTTCATGAAACTTCAGAAATTCATGAAATATATTGAAAAATACCGGTTCCTTGTCATGTTTCGTAAAATGTAAAAATTGAGGCTTTCTTATTCTATGTTTGCGTGTTTGAGTGCGGGTTGCATACTCTAGCCCCTGAAAAATGTGAAATATTTCACAACCTCTTGAAATTTCATGAAGTATTTCTCTGAAATTTCCAATCTTTCATTTCTTTCTTACGTTTTATGCCACCCTGTACGTAACAAGGAGGGATGGGATTAAATTTTCCTCAAGCTCATATTTTTCCCCGCGAATAATTCTATTCCTCTTCCGAAATTACTTAATTCTTGTCTCCCGGTGCAAAGGGAACTGTCTTATTTGCTCTATAAAGTTGCATTAATTCGGCAACCTCGCTTCAGAAATCTTGTCAAATAGTGATAGCGCTAGATTGTTGTCATCAGTCAAGCGCGGATTTCTTGATGATCAGCTCGTTAAGTGACCGTGTGAATTAGAGGCGAAATGAATTGACATAGCATTGAAATAGAGTGTAATATGTGAATTTATTTTGTTAGTTCAGGATTTTTATGTGATATTAGCTTTATCGTAAATCATGACCGACAGCGTTATACATTCCGATACAATAGGGTATTCTCGAGTTCCTTCATCAGATATGTGAGTATTTTTGTCTCAACAATCATAGAGGCTTGGAACGTTTACATGTTAGTCCAAAAGATACGAAAAGTAGAAAATCTCTAGAGAAATTCCGATTCGCCCAAAATTAATTCGGAAAAAAAGACAGGACAAACTCGATCTCTGAAAAAGTCAAATTACTTTAATTTCAGGATTGTAAATATTCAGGAACAGTTCCGAAAATTAAAAATTTTAGGAATGTAGAATGAAATTTGGGTTACAAAACCAAAATCTACTATACAGGATTGGTTTTAATTCTTAAGTGATTTATTCAAGCAGCCATTTTGTAATAATCATAAAAAACACACAATAATCACCCTCTTGTTTTTAAAACTTTAGGACTAGCAATAATTTTGATGGATTATCTCTACCTCCTCCCTACCCTGGTAAAAATTGGCAGTAGAATCTGTGATCCAAAATACCATCGACCTACAGCCGGCTGTAAGATTTCCAATAGCTTCTATAGCCGGCTACACAATTTCTTATAGCCTTTTATAGCCGGTGGCGACTAGGCAACAGCCAGGCGATAAAGTGTATGCTAAACGTTACTACGGATGCCAGGACTTGGTGAGTTTTTGGACTACTGCTCTCTTTTTGGGCCGTAGTATCTTGATTTATTTTGCGAGGAAAGCTCCGTACTTTTGATGGATGCCTACTATTCCTAATATATAAGAGCGCCTTCAGTTTCGTATGATACTGTGCAATACCTCTGGTGTGAAATATTTACTTCAAGTGCCGTGGCACGCTGCGGCGAAGCTAGCGCGAAACGCGCTTTGGCGCCTACAAACCTAACAGGGATACTTCACGCGTTGCGCAGTGCGTGAAGTATCCCTGTTAGGTTTGTAGGCGCCAGTGCGTCGCCGCTTTGTGTGAGGCTCTAATATTTAATCTGGCGGAGTCAGCGTTATTCAACTCATGATTTTGAAATGTTTGCACATCCTGTATGGATTATTCTCATTTTAATTGATGAAAGAAATATGTATTAAAGTAAAATATAATGTGTGTATTGTCAATATTAAGGTGGTTCCGTATCAAACTTAATTATTTCCAAAGCACACGAATTTCTACACAAATTCTTATAGCCTTTTATAATCGATGGCGAAAAAGCAACAGCCAGGCGATAAAGTGTAAAGCCCGGCGATAGGAACTATAGCCCGGCTGCATAATTGTTTATCGCTTCGTATAGCCCGGCCGTATGATTTTCTCCGCATTCTAGAGCCAGCTATATGATTTTCTGTAGCCTTCTTTAGCCGGCTATAAGAATTCCTATGGTATTTTGAAACGCAGCTCTTATCGCCAATTTTCACTAGGGTACAAGTCATTGAATATCCCCTTTCTCCATTTTCATACTCTCAGGAACCTTCAAAAATTACAATTAAGACAAAACACAGAAGACTATCATAGGTATGATATTACCCGCCTTTACAACGAGAGGATGTTTAAATTTCTCGAGGTCTAAAACGAAACTTCCATGCCAGAATGCTTTCATTTAAAAAGGAAAAAATCATCACGTTTTCCAATTTTTCAAAGTTTTACACTGACTCGAAACCTGGACCTGATGTTTTATTTACTTTACTCTACATAAATCATTGAACATGTTTTTCACACAGTTGAATAAGACAGATTGTTTTTTGCCCCCCCCTTCCTCGAATCAGAGATAAAGATGCTGAAAAATCCCACATCGAGGCTGAAACTGATGGCTCTACTGGAAGGAAAATCAGCCGATTCCGATCAGCGCTTCCACAGGTAAATTTCCTATCATATAAACTCTACTTAAATTTGTTCAAATCAAGAAGAACATTAAGTACTTACTGTACAGGAGTGACTCTCAAAGGGCTGCATTTAAAAGTGGTATTCAAGAGCGATTTACGGAGAAAATCTTAGAACATTAAATAACTTTGAAATGATGCTGAGGATTTAAAAGTATAAGCCCGCAGACAGTTTCAAGCAAAGCACGATGCAATGAAAATATTGAAATGAAATCATGATTGAATGCAGTTAAATTGCAATATTTTTACAAAGGTTGGTCAATAAATGCCGATTTTATGAATAAGTTCCGTGTTGAGGAGAGGCGAGCAACATGGACGAGCGGGCAAAGTAGAATTTGGCCATACGAAAAATTCTATCCGTTCTATGGCGACTCTGGTGGTTGAAACTGAAACTAGAGAGGGTACCCAGCTATTAGAAACTGTTTCCATGCAAAAAACAACAATATAACCATTAAAAAATGACGTCAATAGAAAACCGGTCCTCCGAAAATTTTGTTCGCGCCTGTGAAAACTTTATGGGGCCGCAGGCAAAGTGGGCGGATGAAGTGGTATATGATCATTTCAAAAATTCTATCCGTCCTGTGGTACTCGAAATCAAAATTAGAGGGAGTACTCATCATTAGACACTGTTTCTATGCAAAAAGAACGACATAAGCAATTATAAATCACGAAAGTAACTAGCCGGCCCTCGACAGATTCGTTTCGCGCTTGTGAGACCTTGTGTGTATTTAAAAGTGTTGAATCAATAAACCAGTGAATCCAACTTAATCAATAACTGCTTTAGTTTCGATTTCAAAAACAAAATCTAACTGAATCGGTTTCTTCTTTTAATTATTAATAAAATCTAAAGGGGCGATGTCTTCCATTTTGCCCGACTTAAGTGGCGAAAATCGGAATTCACCCTCTTTTTTCGTGTCCTATTTTCTAGGCGTTTTTTGAAAACTTTTCCAGCTGTTTACACTTAATGGGCCTGTTGCATGCAAGAGATACAGCCGTGCGAATAGACTTTATAGAGGTTAAATGACACGAAAATTACGATGGTCACATTAAAAAAGTCTGAAATACACTCCTTACTGCGCAATTTG